CGATTTCTAAAGAGGTGCTGTGTTTTGATTATCTACAGTACTGTAAATAGGATATTTTTTAAATCTAGACTTACTTTAAAAATTGATACAAGCAAACACGATTTGTGATACATTAGATGTTTGAATTAAAGTTATTACTTGCGCTGAAGACCGAGTATTAGTTCAGCACGCCACGACGCTCTCTGATTGACCAGTGGTAATTAATAGTAACACGGGACAGGCATAAATTGGCCATGGCGCAATGCTATTCATAACATAGCGCGAGTATCTATGCTCTGAGTCGCAAACAGCGTCGCGCTGAGTCGCTGAGAGAGTTTCAACACAGAGCGTTTCTCCATGCAGTGCGCCAATTTTATAGGTGCGCTGAAGCATGGCCTTACATGAAAGTTACTCGTGGGCCGTACTGTACTATTGTACAATATTCGAGAAAGATAGGCTAAAATAACCATTGCGCGCTACACTTCCTGATTGGGTCCATGTAGCTTGAATTTGAAATCTTGTTTTAGAAATATTTTAGAAATATCGACCATTTAACCATTAATGACCAACATTTTCTTCTATTTGATGGCATATTTGAATACTGGGTGTAATTTTCTATCAAAACAACTAACTTTGATTTGCACAGTTTTTTACCTGTATTCAAATTTTAGAGTTTTTTTGTCATGTTTTATGTATTCTGGCCCTACCAATACCCGTCCTGCCATCTATTTTCCATTTATATAGAAAATGGTCAATCATGGACCATGCTACTCTTCACTTCACTGCAAATTTATACACAGAAAAGATTCATTTTCTTAAATCAAAACCACATAAGCTCAAACCATACAGCTCAAACCACTATGAAATAAAATATACAAGTTGATACATCTGGATTTAGACAGGGGCCTCGAATTGTCTGTGTTTTATACACTACGTGATGTTTTAGTGTTCTTTTCGATATTTATCGCATAAAAATATTCGTGCAAAAAGTGGCTAAAACGGGAATCAACAAATATTTGAGACATTAAGCTTGCGATGTTTTTCACAACGTAACCGTGAACGCAAAGTCCATGAATCGATATAGTAATGTGTACAACACGCATACAAAACAATATTGTAACTTTCTTAATATTGAAACAATCTTGATGAAATTTTCAGAGTTTGTAGCCCAAACCTGTTTACCTTTATTCTGTGAATTTAAAGCGCCTTCTATTTGATTGGCCAGAGTTGTGGTTGCTATAGCAACCGAAACAACAAAAAGGCGGGGCAAGTTTGTTTACGTCACAACTTTCCAAAACATATTTATTCTTTCTGATAGCTTTATTCATACTCCCAGGTCTATTACTACCGCAAATACAATATAAAAACAGTCCTAAAGTCCCTGTATGTCCAAACGAACATCAAATTGTAACATTTAGTACATGTTACTTGAGTGTAGTTGTGTTACAATTGTCCTGATTTGAAATAGTAACGTTTTGCCGACTAAAAGACATGCATAGAGGGTTATTCTTTTGGATATGCAATGAATCATCCATTGAAAGAAATTCTTCAACTAATGGTGTTTATTTATCAATAAGACTTAACCATATCATGATATAATGCATCAAATCAAGGGAAAATGTGTTCCTGGACAACGATGTTGCAACTTGAATTCATGTGAAAATATCGTCAAAGAAAATATATTGTAACCATTTTTTTATGCCACTCGCTAGTTTTATATCTACTGATATGCAAAAAATAGAAACGGATATAATCGTTCAAAATAACTCTCTCTAACTATAACTTTCTCTATTTATCATGTTACTTGCAATAAAAAAAAAAAAATGCAAAAGTACCTAATTATATTTTTGATCCAAATTAGAAATAATTTCAAATATTTGTTCTTTTTTATCATTTCCTATTATCGTGTTCGTAATGAAGGAATATTAAGTCGAAATGCTTGTTTGATGGAAAGTAAAATTGTATAATTGGTGTAGTAATTTTATAGGGGATGCGATATACGAGCAAGTTCAAGGTTGTATGATTCTTTGAACACGTTTTCTATGACGGCCAATTACACGTATGTTGTGTTTTCGAACTCTTAGAGAACAATTTTTATGCTTCACTCTGTTTACATATTTTTTTATTGTGACCTCCAAAAAACAATTCGTCATCGCCAATTCATTGTAAACAGAACACATCGAGACAAGACGTTGCATTAAAAGTACATTTTGAATAAGTTAAGTTGTTTTCATTTAGATTTGACAACTCTTTTAAAAACGTGATTTTAAAAATGTAATGGTCATAAATGTTTGAACAATTTGTTTACATACATATTTTATATCCGAGATTTCTAAGTAACGAGTCACCATCGAAAACTTACATTAAACAAAACACTACAAACTGAAAGACTGAAATTGCGTTGCAGTAAGTACATTTAAATATGTTACTAAGTTATAATAGTAAATGATATAATAATACTATATATATATATTAGAATAATAAACTAGTACAGAGGGTGGGTAATACAAAATGGGACACTTTTTATCATTCTTAGAGGTATTAAGAAACACACAGATAAACCATGTGTGATATACAAAAAGATGATGGGGCATTGAGTTTTAATAGTACCCTGGACAGGTTCAATGATGCAGTCGTGTTATTACTCTATATATTTGCAACGGAACAACCAATGACATTTTCAGGATTTATTCTAGAGACAATATTTAATATGATAAACACTTTACTGTCAGTAAAATACAAGTTTTCTTGTGAATTGAACTTTTAATGCCATTTCAAATATTGTCTAGCTATTAAATTTTCTGTCGCCTAAGTCTTTCAATATGTATTTGTTGCCATACCAATTATGGTTGATTATTGTCAACCATGTGAGTCATCTCTAAAGGATCTAATTTGGTTCATTCTTTTTTGTCTAATTCTGTCAATCAGCTGTGAATCATTTCCTAAATCAAGCCCAGCTGGAGGAGGTCAAGCTTCCTGCCAACGGACATGAGTTCAACCCAAGCGAACTGTTCAATAACTATGTCGAAAATGAAGAAAAACATAAGAAGTCTCCACCTTCACAGCATTTGATCCATCAGAGATGCTAAAATAGCCGTGTCAACTGCTATCATGAAATTGTCAGTTAAACCTGACAGTTGCAAAGCATGGAACAATATAAATGCCACGTGGTTGCATGCTGAGAGACAGTGATCGAAAGACCCGGTGATGAAAAGGTGCTTAATCAGGAGAAATGTGACCCAGAACGGCAATTTTTTCATGCACTGTAATAATATCGAATATATGACTAACATGAATAACAATAGTCAGCCATAATTAATATTGAAAATTTCAATAAGAATGTGTTTCCCATTGCAATTATATATTTCTAAGATGTAATATAATGTGACTTATCTTCATTGTTTTAAAAATAATGACAGGTTTTGATTGTGATGTCACAATTCACAATAAAAACAGATTGTACAATATGAAAATGAAGAAATTCTTGAAAAGAATGTCTAAAATGTCTGCCTCTATCGGTACTAATTGCTCTCAATTTTAGAATTTTTTTTTTGATGTTGGTGTGTTTGTGTTATACAATGGATATTTTGTCTTTCAAAATATCATAAAGTAAGTCATATTTTGTAGACTAAATAAATAGTCTTTTTTTTCGTTGGTCTGGATTAAATATGGGTTAATTCCTCATAAAAAAATTCTCTGGGCCTCTTGACCCTTGGAAAATATCATTGTCCCTCGGAATAAAACACATATTTAAACCCTCCCAGTAAATAAACTATATCATGATACTTGCAATAAAAAGATAACTGCAAACGTAAATATCATATTACGGACCCAAATTATCAATAATTTCAATCTTTACTTTTTTTTATCATTTCCTTTATTCGTGTTCTAAACGGATGGAGATTGACTCTAAATACTTGTTTGATGGAAAGTGTAATTATATAATTGCTTTAATAATTGTATAGGTACTGTCATATACGAGCAAGTTCAAGGTCGTATGATTATTTGAGCACGTCTACTTCTAAGGTCAATCACCATTTTAAGAACATTTTGTATGTTTCAATCTGTTTATATTATTTTATAGATGTGACTTCCAAATAACAGTTCACCATCAAAGCACATCAAAACAAGACTGGAATTGCGTTGCAGTAAGTACATTTAAATAGTTCAATTATTTGTTTTCGTTGAAAAGTAACGTGAAGTGATTTCCAAAGTGAATGACCGCTTGTGAAACAACAGGTTACTACATTTCCGTGACAAGACTGGAATTACATTGCAATAAGTACATTTAGATATTTTCATTTGTTTTCGTTTTGATAAGAAAAGGTGTTTTCTAAGTTAAAAGATAGCATGTGTATCAACAGGTTACGACAACCTAACTATATTTCCCATTGTAATTCCTTGATTTACTCAAATATTCTTAAAGTGAGTCACGCTTGCTTATTATTTATAACATTAGCATACACAAATGCAGGAGTTCACGCCTACAATGTTTTAGAGAATGTCACTTTGCTATTTATTGTATAGTATTGTTCCTGGCAATAGATGGTTCCATGTTAAATCATATGAAGAATTGTTTGACGAGTGCTCAGTTTAGGACATATACATTTTGTGATATCACACTTTTGAGAACAATTTTCTTGCTTTATATGAATACATAATTGTCATGGTTTTAATGATTTATATCCATGGCCATTAATTGCATTTTTGGTATAACTTTGTTACACTTCAGTACATAAATAATTGGAGTTTCAACTTTATTTTATAGATAACAGTCACTAGGTTGGAACGATTAACTTATGCAGGAACCGCAGCATCACATTTTACTAAGATACATAAATAATTTAAGTTGAAAAATATATTCAGCGAATATTTTTGTTTCCTGATAAAGTGTCATGCGTCAATTTCTTTCCAAAATAACACCATGGTTCTGAATTTATATAGCGATGCGCAGATAATTTGCACGTTTTGTTGTCATTCGAAAAAAAACATCATAAATGTCAGTACTGTCTTTTTTACAGTGGAATGATCCACCGGATGAACATGTAATTGAACAATGGCAGCCGAATTTCGATGGCTTCTACTTATGTTATTTGTGCATAGTCAACACCTGATTAATGCACAACCAGGTAAGTTAGCATTGTAAAGGAAGTATATACATTAATTCAATCTATATCATGAAATGAACGATGACTAGATATTATCATGCCATTTTGTGATCAACTGTATACTAGATCATTCCATTTTCTGCAAAAATAAAATTGAAATCCATGCATTATAAGCAATGTTTGCAAAATAGAAAAAGGGTGTTTTACACTCACCCTATATATTGTATTTATGTTTACCACACGCACGTGTTTACCAAAGCTTTGTTGCAAAAAACAATCAAAACAACTGTTTTGCCTGTTATTAAATCTAATAAAATAAAATAATAATATAACATAACATGTATATATAATATTACATGACAATATGTGCAATTGTATAAATATTTTCGTCTAGGCCGACTTCCTACGACTTCCAAATTATTTTGCAATGAAAGTACATGAATAAGGGTCAATATATCCTATTGTATTTAATTATGGATCGATTCAGTATTTCCTTGATGCATATCATCAATGATTTAACCTGTTCACATCCCGTTTTGGAATAGCGAGGCCACAATAAAATAATTTTTGTTTATCTTGTATTTGACTGAGACATTTACGAATACAAAATTTGGGACTTTATTTTTAACGATTTTGTAATTTCCTAATATCTACTATATCCAACAGGGTTGCCATTTTGGGTCACTCTGTATGCGGTTGAAGTAATTGTGAATAAATATAATGATAATCTGATAATGATTATTAAGAGGGGAAATATCACAGGATTCATAGATAAACTCATCTCTATCTAAAGAGGAGCATCTATAGTTTCATCTATGAATTCTGGGGTTCCCCTTCTTAGAGATGGTAGACAGTTGGTCCATCAGGCACCAGTGTAATGTCCAAATCAAATGAGAAATCTATGGCAAAGAAATATATGAAGACTGCCCAAGTCAATATGGTAAAACGTATTATTCTGGGCTCAAATGGAGAATGTATATGCATATGATAATTAAGATTTATCTTGTAGGTACTCAAGAGACGCTCACCATTGTTACAAATTATACAATCTACAAACCTATTCACCAAATAGATCTAACTGGTAAGCTTGGACTTGTATTCCAAGTCCAGGCATGTGAATCGGCACATGTCGTATTGTCAGCCATTTTTGGAGATACCAACTCTCGAATGTACGAGATCTTGATATCAGGATGGTCAAACACAAAGTCTGTGATTCGAGATTGTAGAGGAAGATGTGATAGAGCTGGATCACTGACTGAAGGTCTTCTGAAATGCAATGAATCTGTGTCTCTGTGGATCGGATGGACAGATGGTGAGATGAAACAATTTATTTTTGATGTTAAATTCAGTTAGCCCACATTATATTTGGTTATCATTTTTACAATAATCAAGCATTGTACTTGAAGATGAAATGTACTGGTATTTAATTGTGTTTCTTTTCATAGGAAACATTGCTCTTGGAAAAGGTCGTGAATTAGGGATCGATCCGCTGGTAGAATGGCAAGATAGCAGTCCTGAATACATCACTTCGTTTGCTGTTGGTACTACAAATGGTGTCAATGGAACTTGGAAATTCACACCCGATGACAGTAAGTTTTGTTTTATAGCAGTCATTTTGCAATGATCTGTATTTTAAAGCAGTGATTTTGTCCAAGGAGGAACTCACCATTGACAAATTTATTTTAACAAAACATTTAATCTCGTTCGTGTAAACAATTAAACTTAATTGATGCTCATACATTATATGTCTAATTTTTGGAAATAGGCTAAGGTTTCAAGGTGTTTACGGGGAAAAAATTTTCTTTTTAAACTGTAAGTCATGAAGTGTGTTTCTTTTTAATATGATTGTCCTGATTACGAATTGTTTTATCATAATAAATTGTAGTTTTCTATACTTAATCTTTTTTCAATTCAAAAGCACTTCTACGCACAAACATATTTTATTCTCCACTGATCAAACCAAAAACAAGACGCATTAACATATTGTCTTTTTTTATTTAGACTGCAGTTTACGTTTCAATAGGAATATATTAAGCATATGATACATTCGTAAACTGGCGTTTTATTTTATTTTAGACTGCAGTTTACCATTGAGCAGGAGTAAATGAGCACATTATTCATTATTCGTATACTGCCCTTATATTTTGTTTCAGACTGTCGTTTATCATTGACTATGAGTATATTAAGCATATGCTGCATTCGTTTAATGACTCAATTATATTTTGTTTCAGACTGCAGTTTGCCAATGACTAGGAGTATATTAGGCATATGCTGCATTCGTTTAATGACTCAATTCTATTTTGTTTCATACTGCAGTTTGCTTATGACTAGGAGTATATTAAGCCATTCGTTTAATGACTCAATTCTATTTTGTTTCAGGCTGCAGTTTGCCATTGACAAGGAGTATATTAAGCATATGATGCATTCGTTTAATTACTCAATTCTATTTTGTTTCAGACTGCAGTTTGTCATTGACAAGGAGTATATTAAGCATATGATGCATTCGTTTAATGACTCAATTCTATTTTAATTCAGACTGCAGTTTGCCATTGACAAGGAGTATATTAAGCATATGATGCATTCGTTTAATGACTCAATTCTATTTTGTTTCAGACTGCAGTTTGCTTATGACTAGGAGTATATTAAGCCATTCGTTTAATGACTCAATTATATTTTGTTTCAGACTGCAGTTTGCCAATGACTAGGAGTATATTAAGCCATTCGTTTAATGACTCAATTATATTTTGCTTCAGACTACAGTTTGCCATTGACTATGAGTATATTAAGCATATGCTGCATTCGTTTAATGACTCAATTCTATTTTGTTTCAGACTGCAGTTTGCCATTGACAAGGAGTATATTAAGCATATGATGCATTCGTTTAATGACTCAATTCTATTTTGTTTCAGACTGCAGTTTGCCAATGACTAGGAGTATATTAAGCCATTCGTTTAATGACTCAGTTATATTTTGCTTCAGACTGCAGTTTGCCATTGACAAGGAGTATATTAAGCATATACTGCATTCGTTTAATGACTCAATTATATTTTGCTTCAGACTGCAGTTTGTCAATGACCAGGAGTATATTAAGCATATGGTGTATTCGTTTAATGACTCGATTATATTTTGTTTCAGACTGCAGTTTGCCATTGACCAGGCGTATATTAAGCATATGCTGCATTCGTTTAATGACTCTATTCTATTTTGTTTCAGACTGCAGTTTGCCATTGACAAGGAGTATATTAAGCATATGATGCATTGGTTTAATGACTCAATTATATTTTGTTTCAGACTGCAGTTTGCCATTGACCAGGAGTATATTGAGCAATGGACAGGTCGCTTATTCATCTTCCTCGAGTGGTCTTCCAAGATTTAACCAGAATAGTAAGTTTAAAATAATTCTTAACTATTAAGTGCATTTGTCTTGCATCTAAATTACACTATTATATAAGTCAGACCAATACACTTGTTATTATCGAAACTCAACATATCATGAGCATTTTAGGATCCCAGTTAAACTAATTATATGGCTAGGTTGGCTAACCTTGTATTCATGAATGCAACTAACGCCTGTCGGCTACCGGATTAACTTACTCTTTTATTGGCAACTCATTTAAACATATGTATCGTACTTGCCACTATTCCATTCAAATTTAAACGAGTTGATCACAAAAAAGGTTAATCCCGTAGCCGCTAGCCGATATTTGCATTCGCGAATCCAAGCTAATACTTGTCAGTTTGAAATTCACAGTTGCCTGGCTGCTATTTGCAGTAACTTTTATCTCTCTGCTATCAACTTTGAAAAGCTAGTTCCATTTTTTGCATTTGACAGAATACCAATATGTTTGTGGCAATCATGTTTCCGACCTTAGGCATGACACCTATCCCATTACCTGTACTGTCCAGTCCCATGCTCTAGCTATAATACTTTTGTTACGATTCGCTTGGGCTGTTATGGTGATTGTTGCGAATCATAATTTTATGATTTGATTCATTGGGATCTTGTGGCCGTTCGGTACTCGCGAGGTTTATTCCTTCTATAACCCAATGTTTAGCATTGTGGTTAGTGAGTAAAACTTACTGAATAAACAGATATTGCTGTGTTCCTTGTACACCAGATAAAATGTATTATTTTATTGTGCAAATATAAGTAGGCATATTGCTGATAAGATGTTTATGTAAGCAAGATTCAAATTGTAATCCTGAGTTATGATTGGTTGTTGCAAGCAACTGCATGCCATAATTACATCGATATATACTTAATCATTCTGTCTCAAGATTGTAGCGCAGAGAATCTCCCATAGTAAGGTAACTGAGGTCTAAACAGCCATTAATCAAGTAACAGCAGCAAGATCTTTACAATAAAATATATTAATTGCATATAATAATGAATAAATAATATGGTAAATATATATAACGAAATATACTTACATATAGTCTTACTTCTTATCATAAAAATATCAGCAAATTTGGGATTTTTTCACCAAATTCATCTTTAGCGGGCTCCAGAAAAATGTGGCATAAAATATTAGAACCCCCCTGAGAGATCCTGGCTTCGCCACTGTAATGGTTACTTTTTCTATGAATCTAGATGGATGGTATAGCCATGGTTCGAGTACACCCTGGCTACAACTTGATCTGCTACAACCACATAAATTAACAAAGATGGCGCTACAGGGGTATGCTCCGGGGCATTCCTATTGGGTGAAAACATTCCAAATTCTTTACAGTGTAGATGGAACCAATTGGTTGTACTACAATAAAAGGGAAACTCAACAGGGGAACAGCAATGGGCACGATGTTGCCATTGTGGATTTTACCGATAATATAGAAGTAAGTAGTGTGATGCATCCAGTTCCTTTATTCTCCAGGGTTCAAACAATAAAATACACTTAAACATGTTCGTCAGGTTGGATTATTAAATCACTAGAACAAATTTTCTTCTTTACACAACCTTTATTTTGAAAACACAGAACGTTTCGGATTACATCTGGTTTTTTTTTATCAACTGTAACAAAACTGAACTGAAGCGCTACAAAACAATAAAGTAAATACAAATATAACGTCATATTAATTCCCGAATAATTCATTCCAAATTCCCACCAATTTATAATTCCCCTGATCCCTGTTCATCGTATTATTTTTGTTGTGATCCAAAACGTTCTGTGTTTTCAAAATAAATGTTGTGTAGAGAAGAAAAATTTGTTAAGCGAATTGAAATACAATAAGTACGGAACTGTCTCTTACTAGAGAGGTTTCGCACAACGGGTTAGCTAAAACGTATCCGCATCCGTATCTCGTTACGTTTACGGAAACGTATTTCGATAATTTTCGTTTCGCAGTTCGTTTTTTGAAGTACGTAATTATATATTACGCATCTCAATCCGTCTTTAATAGTAGTGAAAACTAGGGTCAAACAAATAATTCATCTGCACTAACATTTCAATACACCATTGAGAGTGTCAGCTTTCAGAATCACAATTCCATAATTATTATTGGTGAATGTAAAAATACATATTAACCCATTCATCCCCAAGTGGTCATTTATTAATTTCATGAAATCAATTTCAAAATGAAGAATATCCCTTAAGCCAGAAAAGATAATTTCTAGGTTTACAGTAATCAATTCATTGTCAAACTATACTTTGGGGGATATTTAAGGGTTTGAACACAGATAGGCTGAAATAGTGGTCATTAAGTGAAGTGCAGTGACTGCATTATGTTACAAAATGCGTAAACATTTCTGTTTTCGGTAGAAATGATATTTGTTAGTGTGTGTACATTTGCGTTTATTTAATTTTTCCTGAGAACATTAAGAATGCAGCCAGTGCGTTTGACTTAACATAAAAGCATGCACGCTTGACGTAACACCATCATATCCCTTTTGACCTCATTATCTTTTTTAGTATGCCCTTATAAGTATAATTATCAATGCTATAATTAGTTCTGAAGGAGCACACGCAATCTAAAAAAATGAAATGGAGTGGTTCATTATGTCATCAAGCTTGAGTGAAATCCATCCAGCCAAATATTTGACCTATATTGCAACACCTATTTACTCATAAAGCATCTTTTTATTTCACTCAAAAGTAGAATTCCATCTTAAGCATATGCATAATGTCTATTATGGAGTGATTCCAATAAGACATAACAAACCATATAGGCATTCGTAGCCTTGCCTAAGTCGGTCTCTTACATATCTTGATTTCTATCCCATGGTGAAAGAGATGACCGTCTAAAAATCACTTGCCAACTGTACATTGACCTTTAATTTCATGTTTTTGCAGCTGTATATTTTGGCAATACTTTAAGATCAGATAAGTAAAAAATACCGACTTGGTGGAAGGAAAGTAACACATTTGATCATAGAAAGTGACACAAAATTATCATTTATGCAATAAAAGTACATCTCCCCTGTTTTGTATGAAAAATCAACAAAAATATATTATGTAAAAAGATAAATTAGCATTGTTTTTCTTGGATTCATTGAACAACTGGAGGCCCCCTCATCAGAGAATCAGAGAACGACGCAAAACTAACGCCAATCATACCAGTTGAATATCTCACACAAGAGATTGCATTATATATGAATACATGTAGGTACCAAACCTATAACATACTAATAATGTGTACAAACATATTATTATACCCTTTGATTCTAACCTGAATATACCAACCAACTGATATACCAACAACATAATACCCCAAACCGGCCATTTGTATCTTAACCCAATAGTACACCACAACACGATCGGACATAACCTATTACAACCAAACACTACCTAGGTCACCAATCATACAACAGTACAATAGAACATAACCCAGTGACAACATACACAGAACGCAACAGAGCATAACCCAGCACCAAAAGCCAGCATAGCGCAACCTGCCTTTCAATCACCAAAACACAACCAACTGTCAAATTCACACAATGTGTCACAACCCAATGATAAAGCAACACAGGCAAACACAACCAATTGTTGAACTAACTCAACACAATTGTGCACAACCCAACACTTAACAATTAAAACACAATCGGGCACAACCAATAAAACACAACTAAAATAACAACCACGAAAACACAACAAACTGTGAAAATATCACCACACAATTTGGCACAACCAAATGATAAACCAACAAAAGCAAACACAACCCATTGTTCAAGTAACACAACACAATTTTTCAAAACCAAACAATCAAAACAAAATCAGGCGCAAGCAATAAAACACAATCAAAGTGTAGTACCAATATACACGACTAACTTACCTCAACGCCAATAACACAACACAATCAGACACAACCAGATACCTCACCTGACAACCAGCTACCCAACCAACATAATATATTCACAAGAGAACTCAACCCATTATAAAATTAACATAACACAATAGGGCACAACCCGATACTAAATCACCAGACTAACAACCATCAAAAGACAACCGACTCTCAAAGTGACACAACGCAATTCGGCAACCTGACAGTAACCCATCATTACACAACTAGGCTCAACTTAATATTAATCGATTTAATCAACCCATTAAAACACAATCAGGCACAACCAATAAATCACAACAAAACGTTGATACCGATATACTCAACTAACATATATCAACTGGAGACAACCGGGGACAACCCGATATCTACTTGAATTACAACCACCCCACCCCCCCTCCCTGTCCCTATCATCACAAGGCTGGTGATGAAGAACATATCATGGACCACCACCCAAGAGTTAGATACTTCTGGGGCCCCTATCGCGACTCATATGTAAGGGAGAAGGTCTCTAACAGGATCGGGATGTCAGGCCTTTGTTTAAAAAATGAAAATAGGAAATGACACGCCAATATCATCATCTTATGATCAACTAAATATACTCTACCTGTCACATAATCACTGACGGTGGTTCGGGGAAGCTAGGGCACTAACCTGTAGGGCACTAGTCTCCCTGGTCACCAAAACGAGACCGCTTACTAGTTGACACAGATCGCATGACTAATGATTAATCAGGGTTTCTTTTTCCGCTTGCTCCCAGGAACATCAACCTTGGGGAAGATGTCTCCTCTTAGTACGTTGAAGTAAACAGTAAACTCAGTATACAAAAGTCATGGTTTTTATCACTGTCTTATTGTGCATTTAGTAATTTTCACATTGGAATTTTAATATTACCCATACATGTAATAACTTGGTGTCTCATAAGCCGGCATCGGCTAGAAGCAATGTTTTTTAAAAAAATGTTTTAAATGTATTGCTTGTGACACATAAATATAAATTAAACTTAAACTAAAACTAATGCGTGTTCAAGTCATACCAGGGGAAGAAGCTCCCCTGGCTAGAAATTTTATGATCATCCTGAGCACTTTTCGGGAGTTCTTTTAGCCAAAATTGTCAAAAAGTTCCCCCTTGGCAAAAGCTGGATACGGGACGCCACCTTTAGACCCAATATCACATTCATAGTCGAGGTCAGGACCAAGCTGCTATACTCAAACAAGTCCAAAACCCTGCTCTATATGAATTTAGAGCGTGACTTGAGGCACAAAGTATAAATTCATATGGATTTAGAGCGTGACTTGAGGCACAAAGTATAAATTCAGGTGGCCTAGCTGCTAACCACTGGTTTGATGTCCCTAAGAAATCGACCACGGTATTACTATTGACCCTAGAAATTATAGACCGTACGGCTGCCTACCAACAAATATGACAAAGCTTTATTCGTAAAAATTGCAGGCCACCCACTAATAATCAAATTTATCGACAGATAAGCCTATTACTTCATCAAAATTAGCACGATATACATGATAACACATGTAGGTTACTAAAATTATACATTTTGGGAAAAAATTATCAAGATTTGAAGGACAAAATAGATACGGACACAAAACGCACAGAAAGCGTTAGTTTACGTACTTTCGGTATTGCTGTCGGTTAGACAAACGTATTGAATACACTTTTTCTTCATCGATACGTTACGGAGTTTGTTACGGGTAGCTAAAACGTTGTGCGAAACATTTACACTGTAATTATTGCGATACCATTCCATACAGTGTAAAATGAATTGAACATACCATTTGAAAAACTCGATTTATGTCAAACAATAAACAAATTCATTCACCAAGAAGTCAAATTATACACAACACACTGTGCTTGTTCATAAAGTGATACCTTTAGAACTAAAATCAGTATAATCGAAGGATAAATGGGATACGTAAATGACCAACGTAGAAAAGCCTCATTTTTCGTGTTTTACGTATCGCTTCACGTATAAATTGAGCTGACTACGCATAAATCTGGTAAATACGTTACGGCTACGGATCCGTTGAGCTAAAAATCGTTTTGCGAAACCTCTCTATTATCTGCAAACCCGTTAATAATGGCACAATAAATACGTGAAATATCAGCAAATTAATGCCATATTATCTAATAAAATAGGCCTCAATTTCAAAATATGAACGGCTGTATTTAAAGGCACGGTATGTTCGCATACTTCCCATAACGTGGAATAGTCGCCCTGGAATACGAATGGAACTTTATGGCTGTCAAAAAGCAGAATCCGAAAGAGAATACACGCCTATCGACGACGATATTTTGGTAAGTGGTTATACTTAGTTCTAATAAATGACTGTAATATGAAACTTATTTAGAATTATAAAAATGCTCATTAAAAGATTTTCATGAATAAACAACTCAATTGAAGTAGCAATTACGAATCTTTTCATTAGTTTAATTTGTCAATATGCTTTTTATTTTATTCTACATTCGGATGTCCTAGTATTTGAGTATAATCAATGATCATTAAATATATCATTTTAAAAATCATAGTCGGATATTATGTTCTGGATTTGATGTTTATGCTTGTACTTACACTTTATAGGATGAGGAAGTCCTATTCTTACATCTCAGTCCGTATATTGTGTCAAGACTAGTTGCCATTAGACCAGGAGGAACTCTTACAATTCAACCAGGCGTCAAAGTAATATTTACAACAGCTGAAGCTGGTTTTGATGTGCATGGTACGCATGATATAACTTTATGTAGTATTTCTGTGTATTTGGTTTCTGTAATAGGGATGTTTCAGCTATTCGGAATCTGAAAGTGAGCTTTACAGGGAAAGTGAAAGTCAGATTTCAGGGGTCATGTCATAAGTTCAGTTGCATTAAACGTTTATTTTAACTGATAAATCAATAGTTTCAAAGCTAAAAACATCAATGTGCTTTTTAGAGAATATAGCAACATTAGAATAATTTCAAGATGCTTTCATTTTTTATTCGCTGTGGATTACATTTATTAGAAATATGACACAAAGTATATTCTCTTTTACTGAATATTACATGTATTGATAGAACAGTTGATTGAGCAGTTTAAGTAGTCTCAAAGAGATTAACCCTCCTTATACTAAGACCGGCACACAATTCTGTGAGCTTTGCCAGATGTTGTCGTGGGTGGCGAAAAAATATACATACATACAAATGATGTGACCAATCACATGCTCTACATAACTCCGCCTACTCCCAATTTTTCTGTTAGCCAAATGTTTGTGCATCATTCATATGACCTAATAAGCCACTATGGACATAACGAAGGTCATTGTTATTATCTACTATTACTTGGGTATGCATACACTTTGAGCCTAAGAGAGAAGCATGCATTAGTTGCATTGCTTATGTTTCTAGCTGCACCACCACCAGAAGGCCTTCAAAGTGAGATAATTCCAACCCTATTGTTTTTATTGGCGCCTCCTCCAGATCCTATGTTAAATTTTCGTAACAGATTGGGTGCAGATAACAACAATTGGCAAGGACGAGATGTCCTTGGATTATTTGAAAAATACCCATATGAGTTTTTTGAAACTGTTGATGAAACAGTTAATACGTTTCATGAGATGGTTGGTACTTTTCTGCCTAGAACTTTTGGTATGCGACATAACATGTCACCTCACAATAGACTACTCCTCACATTGATCTGCCTGAGATAGTACCCTTGTTATCCTCTACTCTCCCTGATGTTCGATGTTAGCATTACAACTGTGTCACGAGTCATTAATGACGTTTGGCCAATATTATGGGAACTATATGCATCCAATGTAGTTGGCCATCTCTTGAAGAATGGAATGCAATGAGGAATAATTGGAATGATCTCCCATTTGCAATTGGCTCTATTGATGGAACATCCCATGAAATTGACAGGCCAGAAAATGAACCCCAAGCACTTTTTTAATCTGGAAATAGAGGATACCATTGTATGCATACCCAACTAATTGTAGATAATAGCAATGACCTTCGTTATGTCCATAGTGGCTTATTAGGTCATATGAATGATGCACAAACATTTGGCTATATGGCAAATATTGGGCCCGGGGGACCTTTAGTATACCCTGGAGACTGTAGACTCTTAGCTGATAAAATATATCCATGTCGATACCCACTCCTTAGGAAGTATAAAAGTTCTGAAATACGCGGAAAACCCCTAAATTTACGTAAAAAAAGTGTAAGCGGCTAAACAGAAAAATTTGGAGTAGGCGGAGTTATGTAGAGCATGTGATTGGTCACATCAAGGTTTTTAAGGTTATAAGTACACTTTTTCGCCACCCACGACAACATCTGGCAAAGCTCACAGAATTGTGTGTCAATCTTAGTATAAGGAGGGTTAATCTCTTTGAGACTGCTTAAACTGCTCAATCAACTGTTCTATCAATACATGTAATATTCAGTACAAGAGAATATACTTTGTGTCATATTTCTAATAAATGTAATCCACAGCGAATAACAAATAAAAGCATCTTGAAATTATTTTAATGTTGCTTTATTCTCTAAAAAGCACATTGATGTTTTTAGCTTTGAAACTATTGATTTATCAGTTATAATAAAAGTTTAATGCAACTGAACTTATGACATGACCCCTGAAATCTGACTTTCACTTTCCCCGTAAAGCTCACTTTCAGATTCCGAATAGCTGAAACATCCCTATTAGTGGCGATATGTTCTGATACGCGATATGTGTACTACAGTACAAATTATATTTCAGGTAATCTTTTAGCTCAAGGGATCGACAATCTTCCTGTTGAGTTCACGGCTGATGATGCCGTGTCTGAAATTTCATCGCATTGGACTGGACTAATATTTGTCTCTGGTGGTAAGTTTTGCATTATATTCTAATTAGTGTTTACTTAGAATAGTAATTAACAAAAAATAAATTCCGCTCGGAGTACTACTAAGTAATTTACAAGTTTTTAATACGAAAATCAATATATTTTAATATTATATTAAAATCTTAAACGCATACATCAATTTTCTATATCCTTTCTCTCTGTAGATTCCTTACTACAATATGCTTATGTAGAAGGAGCGCGTGTGGGTATCCAAGCAACAGGCTACTCCGTAACTCTAGATCACGTGACCATCACAAAATGCTCAGCCGGGATCAAATACACCGACGGGGGATCATTCGCCAACTCAACAATGATATCTGATTCATACATAGGAAATAATGGCGGGCATGGTATTGAATTTAAAGGGAGTCCTGTCCATCCGTTTCTATCTATCACTCGGACTATTATAACGGGAAGTAAAAGCTCCGGCATATATTGCAGAGACACACACGCAAATATCTCCATCGAGGATTCGGAGTTGTCACACAATGCTAAAAGGGGTTTAGAAACGTATCAAACCGTGGGGAATATCAAAATACACAGGGCAGAAATCCTGAGAAATAGAAATAATGGGCTCTATATTTACAGAATGAGTGGGAATACCACAATTGAATCAACAAAAATGAAACATAACTACTATTACACCATATATTATTACTCGGATAACAATTATAGAGGAGGTCGTTTTCTACTGATTAACAATTCTTTTGTGGGAGAAAGCAGCGGTCGCGAATACCTTGCTGTATATTTGTACCCCAACACCTTTGATGGAGACGAAATACATATTGATAGAAACGTGTTCAAGGACATTGCAACCTCATACCCTTCGTTGCAAATAGAGAAAAACTATAAACAGTCTGAGTTGAATATTACAATAACAAATAATGTCTTCACCAACTGCTTCAAATCAATGTTGGTTAGGGCCTACCATAATACAAACGTATTTTTAGAAGACAATACAATGGAAAACAACAGAGCTGATAGTCGGTACATTGATGTTCAGTTAACCAGTTCGAATAATAATGGAAGATTCCATATTTTCAGAAACAAATTTACAAACATTGCTGCATCCCCTTGGTTATGGATAGACACGGACAATTTCATAATAGCAAACAATTCTTTTGAACAATTCAAAAGCGTTGATCAGTGTGCATTATATGTTTCGGTATCTAAAACAGCTTTAATCGTTAATGTCCCATATTCCTATTGGGGCTCGTCTGATCCAGGTGATGTGAAACATAGAGTATGTGGTAACAGTAGGAATATGGATCTTGCACATGTCACTGTCTCGCCTTTTTACACTGACCGCAATCTGACTGAACTGAATGAAGATGAAGGAGTCGATTTCTACTTTACTGATTCAACGGGTGCTATCGGCGGTGTGCTCTTGAACAACAAAACGATTCCATATGTTTTCAAACATACCTACCACGTTCGGCGCAACATCTTTATACGCCGAAATGCAACTCTCACTGTAGAATCTGGGGTTAAACTGGCTTTTGGCAAGGGAATCGGAATTTATCTAATTGGTAAGTGATACTTACTTCTTATGTACCCATATTGATTCACAATTTATTAAAACGTGATGGGTCTTAATAAGAATCTATAAGTGGAACTCCCTTTATAGAAGCTTTGAACTGAATTTGCACTTGTTAATGCTGAAATTGATAGTTTATCCAAACATTTTAAAAAATAGGTATGTCAAAGTTTTCTCTCCACATGCCTTGTTGCCACTTTAATGTGTGATAATATTAGATAATTCATGATAAAAATGAAACATTATGGTAACTGATTTGCGTTCCTCTCACTTTGCATTGAAGATTTTGGAAACAAAAATAGTAAATTGGTTCATTCTCAAGGTCATTCCTTTCCAAATCCAATGTACTGTATATTAACATTTATATGTCTATATTATTTGAATTTTACCCTGTGATTAAATTTTCTACTTATCCCCCTCCGATCAACTATCAGTTTTATAAACCAAAATTGTAAATGCAATATATAATATTAGTAAAATATGGTATTTACGTTTTGCCAAATCCACAACAAATGGATCAAGATAATAAAAATATAAAGATAATAAAATAAATATGCATAATATTTGATGTAGGTGAACTGCTCATCGGAGAGTCTGACAATGGTGACATATCAATGAGAAGAATGAATCCCACGGGCAAATGGGGAGGAATTCGCATCGGATCACCGTCACCTCTTGGTAAGCTATGTAGCGTTAACTCATTCTTGTTTCAGTTTTTCACTATTAAACATAAATAAGTTTACTTTTTTTTCTCTGAGAATAATTGTAACTTGTTTATTTTCTTACTTAAAGGTCTCTTTCTCAATAATGTTCAGCTTGATGGTTCAACATATGGTATTCACGGCCAAGGCAGGAACATTAGTCTTAAAGGTGTAACAATCATAAACACAGATTATGCCATACATGTCTCTGATACCATAACCAAATACCTTAACATTGATGTTACTAACAGTAGGATCGACACATCGTCAAACACTGGAATTTACATTGTAACGTCGAGTAATTCTATCATGAGAGAGTTCAACTTAACAATGAAGGCCGTGGCTATTCGTAACACACATGGTAGTGGAGCTGTGTATATCGAAGGGGGTAGTAGCAAAGCATATTCTGGATTCACAAATGTAACAATTCAACATATAGGCAGTCATGGTGTCTACATTCACTACAATGGTCACATAGATGTCAAGCTTCGTCGTTGTGAAATTTCGGAATATTCATCCTATGCTATTTATGCCTACATAAAACATGGTTTATTTGAGCTCGGAGACTGTATGATGAAGAGAACAATCAACCGACATGGCTATGGTGTACATTACTACACCCCTTGGAGCAATGACGGATCTAGAACTATTTCAATATATAATAATACATTTATGGAACAAAATTCATACAACAATCATGGAATGGTTACTATTAATACACAGTCTTCAAGATCTGGTTATGAAGAGTCTTCCAACATATCGATTGTGAACAACACATTTCGATCAACAGGTTCGAGGGGCACATCTGCTATGGATCTATCAAATATTAACTATTTCTCTTCAATCTTGATAGAGGGGAACGATATTCATAGAATGCGTCGTGTAGCGTTTGCTATCGGATTAAAAGCCGGAATTGGAACCGTTGACTTCATTGGCAACGTAATCTCCGAGAGTCATGGAGCTTTATCCCTGACATGTGACCTCACAAGTGGCACAAGAATTATGAATAATCGATTCCTCTACAACTTTGGAAGCGACAATGTCATCATCAATCCAAGCATAAGAAACAATTGTACCATCAGCTACAATATCTTCTTAAATAACAGCAACAACGCCTTTACCCTCCAAAGAGTCCAGTCGGGTACATCGTTGAACTACAACTTGTTTGATAACATTAAAGGAGAACCTAATTATAATGTTAAGGTACATTATATCATATTGTTGTGAATTGCAGAGATGTTAAAAAGTATCTTAACACCTCATGATAATACATATATAAAACATAACTTTCTTATCTAAAATCAAACTTATATTTCTTAGTTCTAAATTGCACATTTCTAATTCGACTGTAACTACTTCAGTGTCTCAATTCTAACTTGCAAGTCCATGTTATGACATTAAACAAGTTTCACTCAACATATATGAATAGATATTCAAACACTGAGTTCTTATGCAATTAAGTGAAGCATAAAACTCGAAGGGGTGAACCATTACATCATCTCATGAATCAAATGCCTTTAATTTTATGTTATATTTTTTATCTTTTCAATATATATAGCATTCAATGCGTTTTTTGTTCTATTGATCATGCACTATACTAGTATTGTTGTATTTGTATACGCTTGTGTGTCTAGGTAAGCTCTTCAAAAGGCGACCCTGATATAAATGCAAAGCTGAACTGGTGGGGCAGTAAAGAGCAGTCCCAAATATTGGCCAGTATATATGACAACAAAAGAGACCCAACCGTTGGTGTATTAGACATTTTTCCGTTTCTACTTTCACACAATTTCTCAGACGTGTCAATTGAAGAAGATTTTTTTCGACAAGATGGTAGTATTGGAGGAGAAATTACGGGGAACGTAACTCTTAGATGTGATGACAGTCCATATGATGTCGTGTCAGACATTGTGGTTATGGAGGGTGCTTCTTTGCTTATTGAACCATGTGTTGTGCTTAAATTTGCCGAGAACATTGGTATTCGAGTAGAAGGTGAGCTTGTTGAATAACGTTTGTTAAAAGTACAACTAAGCTGCTTTAAGTGTGTCACATTTATTCTTTGTTAATTTAACATAATTTGTTCCCGTGTAAAACTAATTGTAAGTCATGCATAAATTATGATCTCCCTTCAATGATTCGATATGTCCCGGTGTAAAAGAAATTATGGTCCCCGGGGATTATGGTCCCCTTTCCTTGCGGCCCTTACTGGCCCTGACTGTGTATAAATAATAAGGAAAATAATTGTAATTAGGTCACCATATAAATCAATACAGAGAAGGACCAAAATTTGATAGGACCACCTACCCTTTTACACCTGGACATACAAATATAATAGAGTTGTAATTTTGTCGAACGTTATGTGTTTATTTAGAGGTTATATTTGACGATGGCCAGAATGACTTTTTATAGCTTCAAGGTATTGATAATATACTATAAGTATTTATATTTAGGTGAAATCCACATGAATGGAACTGCAGAAAAAGAAATCCAATGCATACCCCGTACATCTGTCGTCAAGTGGGCTGGAATGAGTATCACGACCGGTAAATATAATTTGCGCATTGAATCAAAGCAAAGAGCAGATACCACGATATTCCAAAATTATACAGTATCTAACAAGAGGTTGATTGTCAAAGAAGAACTTACAATTAAATGGATTGTGAAAGAATAATATATAGTATTGAGTTGCTGTAATCAATGCTTTCATCTTTATTAATCACAACTTATCTCAAAGGTCTATTTGGCAAAATATTTTCTAAAATATTACACTCTACTCTACTTCATGCATATCCTTCTCTAACTAATTATTTCATACTAAACTCACTCAGGTGACCCATTCATGCACTATTATTTAAGAAGGCACTGTAGATGATTGTACTACTGCAACATAATAATTATGTGATTAAGTCCTAAACTCTTATATTATTATACATCATAAAAAAGTGGCTGATCTGGGAACCAACAAGGAGGGGGGGGGGCAAAGTGGAGGTCAGAAAAAAACTTTGGGCCCCTAAAACCCGAAAGTGGGCCAGAATATTGAAATTTTGAGGCCCATTTACTTTAAAATTTGGCCTGAAATTAAAAAATAAGGCATTTTTTGGCCCAACATTCTTTTGGGCCTTATTTTTTTCTGGGCCCTCCCAATGGGGGGGGGGGGGGGGCAGATCCGCCAGTGAAAAAAGTAACAAGACTATATGTTCATGTCTTTTATTTCTTCCAGAGCGTACTGCCAACGAAAAAGGAGGTATCCGATTGGTAGGTGATACTGCATCGGGAAGACTTGAGGTATTTTATAATGGTCAATGGGGCTCAGTTTGTAACGATCAATTCGATACTCACGATGCTAAGGTTGCCTGTAGGCATCTGGGTATGTAACACTTTTATTGAACTAAGCATTATTAAATTGTTGGTGTAAAATACTATAAACAATAGAAATTATCTTATGATATGCAAGTATGCAGGGTTACTGTTAATCCTTACAGGAATGAGGTCTGAGGGAGCAACTTACAGAACAGTTGGTGGTGGTACAGGCCCTATATGGTTAGATAACATAGCATGTGGTGGAAGTGAGACAACCCTATTCGAATGTAGACACAATGGTTTTGGAAGTCATAACTGCGGCCATGGTGAAGATGTTGGTATCACTTGCGTCGGTTTATTAAGCACAGCGAGTAGAAACCAAGTGTCTACATTGAAACATGTGCGCCTGCTTAATACAACCTTTGGACTTCACATCACAGGAATCATGCCTTCTGTTTTTCAACATGTAGAATCATCCAGATCAAGTCAGAATGGAATCACCTTTGATGTACGTTTTTTGATAGGAAACGTTTCAAATGTTTTGTTGGAAAATGTCAAAACATCTGAAAATCATGGTAATGGATTATTCTGGAATGAGAAATCTTACAGAATGTCAAATATTGAATTTGTAAACATCAAGTCCACTAGAAATCAAAAATTTGGGTTATACTATACAGGTTCATATCAGAACATATCAGTGATTAACAGTTTATTGACTGACAACACATATGGAGCAGTATATTCTTCTCTTTCAACATCATCACTGAACATTGAGTCTACAGAAATATCAAGAAACACACACGGAGCCCTATACTCAAACCCTGCATCCGACTCAGAGTTTAACTGCACTATACGAGATTGCAATATCACTTACAATGGCATTCCGTCTGATACATCAAATAGTACATTTTACTTCAGCCCAAATGGACAAAGATACAATGGTGTGTTTTTTCAGAAGAACAGATTCATTCAAAATACGGGGGGAAGGATGATACATTATTATGGCCACACGGGATATAGCAGTCAACCTGTTGTAATTTTGAGCAATAACACATTGTATGAAAACACAGGAGTCGCATTGTACATGGAATACATAAGTAACAATGCTAGAGTTTTATTTCATGACAACCACTTTGAAGGGAACAATGCAAACCCTGCAGCATCAGGAAATAATGCCTACATGTTTTATGGAACATTACAAGACAGAGGATCATTTGACTTTGAGTTGGAGAGAAATGTTGTCATAAACAACACAGCACCAAGTCTTCTAAGAATTGCACCATATTATAGTTGGTACAATGTCGCCAAAAGTATGAAAATTAGGCTTGACTACAATGTGTTCGAAAATAACCATGTTGCAACATCCATCGATCTAAGTCAAAAGATTTACAGAGTAGAAGGTCACAACAATATAATCAACAACCCAATGGCAAGTTATGAAATTAGGTCATCCGCGAGGAAACCATTAACTGGATATCATTTTGAACGAAATTACTGGGGTCTTAGAAACTTAAGTGAAATAGAAACATCTTTGAACAGTCACCACGACAACATCAATCTAAACCGAATATTTATTCATCCATTTGCAACCAACCGTGAATTAACCGAATTCAGTGAAGATAATGATGTTGAGTTTTTTGAGACATCATTGTTTGGAGGGGATGTAGTTCAAAACGTTGTTGTGGAATACAGAAGTGAGCCATACTATGTAAAACGATCCATATATATAAGGTGAGCAAGGCTGTAATACATGATTGCAAAACAAATAAAAATTCAAAATCCAATAGGGGAACTAAGTTTGCCAAACATTTGGATGGAAGTGTTTGTCGTGATTTTTGATATTGGATTTCATTCCATAATTCTGATATTGAATATTGATATTCTCACGATATGCTTAAGAATATTTTTGTCCATATGTATGTAATATGGGGACAATGAAATAACTATCATTATATTCGTTAATCGGGTGTCACCTAATGGAAACATATACAATTTTTTGGACTGGGTAGAGCTACACATATAAATGTATTTGTTTAGAACAGTGATAACAGTATAATTATAGATATAGATATAGGTATTATTTTCTTTTCTCTCTGAAATGTATGATAATTGCTTCATTCTCTAGAGAGGGGGCTTCACTGACTTTGAGGGCAGGAGTACATTTAAAGTTTCCAGGAGCACAAGGGATTATCGTTGAAGGTAATGGCAGAACACAAACAGAATAATTAGAAAATACATCTAGCGGTAATTAGTCAAATGGCAAAGAGCAAATACTACTAATAAAGAATAGTAAACATGATATAGGGTCACGATACATACAAGTCATGTTCAGGGCACATATCAATCGAGAATATAACATTTAACAACCAGCCTTGGAGGAAATTGTAAATTGTAAGAAAAAGTTCTGCAATGTGATTACACTTATTAACCAACACCACACCAAGACTAAACTTGTAAGAATTATTTTCATAATTTTGAAATAGGGCGCCTTGTCATTGAAGGAAGTGCCGATAGAAAAGTAAGTCTTTCAAGGAAAGATGCCAGCACTCAATGGGAAGGTATAATATTTCAGCGAACAACGGCAGAAGGTAAGTACCAATCCAACAACCAATTTTTGTATATTACGAACATCAACCTGTCAATTTCAAGGAAATCAACATGTCAATTTTTCTTCAACATGTATTGTAATGACTTCAGTATGAATGAAATGTCTCTTGGTGTTCTTTTCCTGGATTGTGATATTGGTTCTCGATTGGAGGGGGAGGGGGATGTTAGACTACTGAGAGGTTAAGCTTTGCATATATAGTCGAAACTGAACCTGTACGTATCACTCGACCATATACAAATTCATGTAGCCTTCTCATATAAATAGCCGTTCAAATCCAGTGTTTGTTTACAGTCATTTTTTTTATTCTGGGAATCAGATCATATGGTTGGAATAAGGAAAGAATGTGATGTAACCACGTGTCTACTTACCGGCTTGTTCTATGTCATCCATCGGACTAGGTTACATCGTGGAACGCAGCCAAACACGACACTGAAGGCAACAGCATATCTATCTTGATCTTAGCCGAATCTTTGGAAATTTAGATCGTCCATTTTGCAAGCTCACGTGACTGACACGTGACACGTGTCTGATCACGTGACTAGTTACTGTATCGATCATGTGACTTAATGACGTGTCAATGACGTGTCACCCAACCATGTCTTCAAGGAAAACGGAAGTAAATATTTTGGAAAATGTTTTCCGAGCATTTGCTACTGATTATAGAAGGCCCAATAACGAACGAAACTGCTAAATTGTATTTCGTGCCTAACAGGCGCAGTACGCAATGAAAGAAACTGCTAAATTGTATTTTTAGTCTGCTTATTGATCTATTGATTCATAAAGACCTGAAATGATGCATTCAAATAAGACCGCCTCCTAAATGAAAACACTACACCTAAGGTGGTGAAAAAGAACGAACTAAAGTTGAAAGATCGCAACGTTCGCTACTTTGTTCAATTCCGGAAATCTCCAAGGGGTTGCAAATGGGAAATTATTTAGATTTAGATTTTATAACCTCAGAATACTGGCTTCATTGTCGTGTTTGGCTGCGTTCCACGATGTAACCTAGTCCGATGGATGACATAGAACAAGCCGGTAAGTAGACACGTGGTTACATCACATTCTTTCCTTATTTCAACCATATGAACTGATTCCCAGAATAAAAAAAATCACTGTAGACTACACCATAGCGTGTAATGATTCTATAGTATGTCATTGATGCGGTTTTCTAATACATATTTTAAACGAGCTCGTTTCGTTAGATTTTTGGCGCTAAATCATGCATGACATACATCATCGTGTTCAGCAAGAATTCAACTGTGCATCGAAATCAAAACTGACAGCATAGTGTTCAATAGACACGAGTAAAATGGTTCCCGTTGACCCAACGTCAAATTTCAAAATCTCCCGTTCTAAACCCAAAACTCTGAAGCTGAAAGAGTATCTGAAGTAGACTAAGCGCGCATAAACTATGAGCGCTCGATACATTCCTTTGTTAATTTTTGTACTTTGCGTTCACGGTTACGTTGTGAAAAACATCGTTAGCTTAACCTCTCCACTGTTTCTTTTCACGTTAGATCATGGTTTTGGGATATATAGGGTCTACTTTTCTTATGACAGATTTACCCTTACAGTTTGCTTTTCTTGTTGGGTTCTTTAAAGTTTTTAGTCACCCTTCCCTTTGGCATTTGCGCTTATATATTCATTGCCTCAATGCGTCCAATGATTCATACGTTATAAAAATCATACATTGAGAATAACTGAATGTAGCACTTATATGCTCTTAACAGAAGCAATTACCTGATTTCAGCTTGTAAAAACGGGACAAGGTTTATAATGATTAAACATTTCGCAATCGATGGCAACAAAAGAGAGGTGAACAACAATTGGGATAGATGGTATTGTATACATCGCTGTAGAACAGCAACCTTTGGATGCAAGTCAATTGAATACAGAGAGTCAGATGGACGATGTCAGCTCAGTGACAAATCAAGAGTGGACATCAATCCCAGCTTGTGGAACAACTATACCGAGGCGTATGATTTCTATGAGCTAGAAGATTGTAACGGTGGGTAAAAGATCAATTGCAAGCCTTCTAAGTACTATTAGTATTGGCCTTGTACATATACACTCCTGATCATTCCTTTGAAATTTAAATAAAGTTTTAGATGTAGCGAGCAACTTTAACAATCATTCCTTATCATGCCTTTTATCTAAAAATCATTCCTTAAAATGCCTATTATCTAAAAATCAACGAATTGCATACTTTGTTTGAGGAACAGTAAACACTTTTACAATATGTATCATTAAAAAGGAAATAAAATCATTTTACCATGTGATTTATCCCAAAATACGAGCTATGTTGATCTGATAACATTCATTGCCTTCATGAACTATTATGACCACTTTATCAAATTGCCTTATATGTATGGGATTGGATAGGATTTTTCATTGTTGAAAATGAAGATCGATTGAATTTAATTAATGCAAGTCTTACAATAAGTATTATAAGCAATATTTCTCATTTTGCAATTATAATTTTTCTATTATGTATTTTAGAATCGGACTCATCTGTTGTTAATCATGTTAACATAACTGGATCGAAATATGGCATGCTGATATATGATCTCCCCATTCAAACTGATAACGTTCATATTGAAGAAGCGGAAACTGGGCTTTACTTTGCAGAAAATAGTTTTGGAAATAGTATGACATTTCGGGATAGTAGGATCAGTCAAACAAGTGGAAATGGTATACTTATAAAGTCACTTGCTTTGCGATATCTTGATATCACTGGGAGTGTTGTTGACAGGGCGGGGCAGAGAGGTATACATATGGAGAAGAATGGTCTGAGACTTATTGTAAACAATGGAACGATAACTCGTTCTACTAATTATGGAATCCAAGCAGCGTATGCTACGTTTGTGTTACTAGATGGTGTGACCTTCGACTCCAATTATCATCATGGTGCATACTTCCAATATCCGTTAAATATATCCTTCACCAACTGTGTATTCATGAAAACAGATCGAGAAAATAGATATGCAGTATATATTGAAAGTATGGGTCACAACTATGGCGCTTCTCAATCTCAGATTACCATGACAATTAAAAACTCTGTGTTTGAGCAAAATTCACGACATGCTATAAAAGTAACCACCGCAACGCATTATCACAATGTAAATCTGTTCATAAACATCCATAATAATTTATTTCGTAACAACAGTGATACTCTAATGGACCTTGATTTACATAAAGGAACTGATGTTTTGATTGAAGATAACACAATAGAATATAATAGCGGGTCGTCAAATCTAATAGATTTACATCCAATATATTATCGTTATGATAACAGACGGGTCAAAAGTGAAGTTCACATTGTCGGAAATGAATTCTTGAGAAACGAAGGCCTGACGATGGTTTACCTACACCCAGATAACATAGCGAATAATAGAGGAACGTTAACTGATAACGCATTCACTGACAACGTTGCATCGCAAGGCATCATAAGGACAACGTCGGGGAATTATTCGATGCATTACAATATACTAGAAAACCCTTCAAGCGTTTATGAGCTTTATGTCGCATATGATGGTGATAACATCATAAACGCTACGCACAACTGGTGGGGAAGCGCTGTAGAAGCATATGCAGATGAACGCATATTTGATAAAGCAGATGCATTTAATGCTGCAGAGGTAGTTTACATTCCAATGTTATCAGGAAAAGTATTTACATGCTTTGCTGTGAACAACTGTTCTAACCATGGCGAATGTGTTAGACCTGATAGATGTCGCTGTGTTGATGGCTGGCAGGGGCCAACATGTAATCAAGTCTCATGTAAGCAGGTAAAGCAGGACCTCTCAATTTTATAGTTCTAATGCATATCTTACATAAAGCCGACTTGCTCTCTTATTCAATTCTAAAAGGGTTGTTCAAAAAGTTTTGCACAAATATGTCTATTTGTATAAATAATGAACCGATCTTAAAGGGTTGATCAAAAAGTTTTGCACAAATATGTCTATTTGTATAAATAATGAACCAATCTTGTATAAACTTTATAGGTTTGTGGCCCTATCTTATCTCCTTACACTCTTAGGGTTTTATGCGTATACGTCAACTACTTAATAATTTATGGTTGCTATAGTAACCAGGGTGATGACGCAATGGTCCATATCATTTTGAAAAGGAAAACTTGTAACATATAAAGAACAATATTACTGAACATGCTAAATTTACTGTCTAAAACTGTCTACTTAAATTTAAAACAATAATTAGTATTGTTCTCATGGCAAAAATAAATTTTATATCAATATGTCCAATCTTGATTTCTTTGATTATGTAGAAGAATGACTGTGAACTAACTCTTCAAACATATTCAACAAATCACCTGATTTTATGATGTAATCAAAATTCTCATGGATTTATGCAATGCTGTAGAATATGGCTCCAAATAACAAAGTTGTAGCAGAAAACACCAATTGATAGAATACATAATAAATATGGGGAAACAGTGTTATATTCATTCATGCATTAAGACATTGCATATGATGACGCAAAATAGGCATCGCTAAGTATTCCTAGATGGAATTAGAGAAAAAGAAATGTATTGACAGAGGATAGCTGCAGTCATAAGAAGACTTGACATCCTAGAGCTAGGATGGTTCAGACATTAATCTTTAGACTGGACATAAAGCTACAAATAATGCATTTCTGAAAGGGATAGACTACATATTAAGAACTATTTCTTTAGATCAAATATAAATTAGTTACACCATAACCTGACTAACAGCTGAACGAATAAAGATTGACCAAACCATTTCAGTCTATCGAGGCATCAAGAAAATGAATTTATTTTCATGATGTCATATGGACAATGGGCCGATTTGTTCAAATTTTAAAGTCAATGTAGGAAATGCTTTGCTTACGGTCCTGAAATTTGATATGTACTTGTAAGAAGGGTGATACTATTATGTGTATAAAATTGCATGTTAACATAGTAAATCTCATCTCTTGAGAAACTTTTGTGCAAAACCTTTTGAATGACCATAATACGACAGAAAAACTAAGAATCCCGTTGGATTTATTTAATCGCGGGGTGTACGGCATACATCTGTCTAGTATGTCGTAATGTTGAAATTTTGATACTACTTTTATATAAAGGTCTCTGACTGCTATGGTAATGGCAACTGTGTTGGACCAAATGTTTGCGAATGCACCGGGGGTTGGACTGGAGAGACCTGTGCAGATGCAACATGTTACAATGTGAACAATTGTTCACAAAGAGGATACTGTTTGCAACCAGACACATGTTCATGTTTTTCTTCCTATGCGGGGAATGACTGCTCACAATGCCAAGAGTTGTATTGGGGTCAGGATTGCGAGCCATGCCCGCCATGTGTCAATGGATACTGTGACGAGATGTCAGGTGATTTGATTCAACTAAATTTAAGTCCACATATGAACGTACATCTATAGAAAATCACTGGCGTTTTTGGGGTATTTTGAAAATGAAGATGTCAAAGACATGTTAGTTTAAATGCGTAATGTATCATAATATTTCTTTAATTAAGGTGGATGTACATGTTCGTCAGTAAATTGGGCCGGGGAGCTATGCAGTGAGTGCAACAGAACATTCTACGGGCCTTATTGTTTGCCCATTCCTACAGTTCTCCTTGTTGCCCCGTCAACAGGACCTGACATAGGTGGCACTGTGGTCAACGTAATCGGGCACAATTTTGAGAACAGTAGTGATGGATTGTATAGATGTCGTTTCGGTGATATCGATGTGATTGGTCAGTGGCTGTCACGTGAACAAGTGCGTTGTATTAGTCCAAAGCAAGTTGGCGAAGTCCCTGTAAATGTAGGAAAACCAGGAGACGAAATGACAAACCAAAGAGTATGTATAAACTTATAGGATGTTATCAATTGTCAAGTAAATCAATATATTTTGAAATACACATCTAGGCCCATGCTAAATTCAAATACCACCCTACATGTAGATCCCCAAGCAGTGCTTGTGATTGAAATGAAACACCAGCTCATGGGATTGGTATGTTTTGACAACGTTCAAAACTCTACCGTTGTGCTTATTTTTCTCTAAAGGTTAAATTCAAGTACCACCCTACATGTCCAATCAGTGCCTGTGGACGAAATGAAAACCAACCTCATGGAATTTGTTTGTTTGGACAATGTACATGTAGTCTACCATTAATCTGGCGTGTTCCTTATTTTAGGTTACATTCAAGTACCACCCTACATGTCCAAGCAGTGCCTGTGGACGAAATGAAAACCCACCTCATGGGATTTGTTTGTTTGGACAATGTTCATGTATTCTACCATTAATCTGGCGTGTTCCTTATTTTAGGTTACAATCAAGTACCACCCTACATGTCCAAGCAGTGCCTGTGGACGAAATGAAACACCACCTCATGGAATTCGCTTGTTTGGACAGTGTTCATGTGTTCTACCATTAATCTGGCATATTCCTTATTTAAGGTTACATTCAAGTACCACCCCACATGTCCAAGCAGTGCTTGTGGACGTAATGAAACACCACCTCATGGAATATGTTTGTTTGGACAATGTTCATGTATTCTACCCTGGGAAGGAGAGTCGTGTCAAGATATAGTAATTGCGCCATTTTTTAAAGAGGTTAATCTCACCTCTGCCCGGGAAGGGAAGAGATATGAAGCTCAAATGAATATAAAACAGGTACGGTATAATTAAGTATAAATTATGCATAGAGTACATATGCAAATTCATTCCATATAAATGTATAGTATATATTATAGTAATTGTATTAAGCTCTTAAAGTTTCAATGGTTAAATTACAAATATGTAAATTACAAATATTTCATCACGTAGATATCATTGTAGGGAACTAGACCAATAACATGGCAGCTGCTGAATGGGCCTTCAGGAATGTCTCTTGATCCAAGATCCGGTTTATTGATTTGGCTTAGGACTGTGGCACAGAAGGAACCTTATGTAAGTTATATATATTCTGTGAATACTTTACTTATTATTATATTAACATAGATATTATATTAACATAAATAATATAATGATATTAATTCAAATGAATGTAAACATTGCTTGATTTTAAAAATGTGCTAAGTTTTACTTACGCATTTTGATACTTTTAAATTGCTATCATATTTGTAATAAGGTAATTATATTCAACCGTTAGAATCTTGAAAGCATACATCAACGTTTTTATTATATGTTTCTTTTTTACTTAAGGACGTTCGCATGCGCGTAGAAAATGTTATTGGTTCGGATATCTACACCTTTAAGCTGAGCGTCCCATTAAGCTACAATGCCACAGTGACGTCATTGTCTGTCAGTGGTATCTTATCACAACCATCGGAAGTCTACATTTATGGAAACGTTGACCTTTTTGAGGAGGAATGGGAAAATAAAAGAGGGACAGTGCTGGTGCACATTTGGTAATAATTTGTTATTAACAGTCATACTTTCAATCAAATAAAGGCGATAGATCACACATGAATAACATTATATCATAAAAAGGAAGCAGTTAAAAGTCAAAATGAAAAACAATTATCTCAATTATCGAAAATTATGATCTAAGTGAAAAAGAAACAATAAATAACATCAGTCAGGAATGAAAATAAAATACTTCATTGCTACCGAAGTTATAAAATTAACAAATTGAAATACAAACCAAATAGGGCTTCCATTAAGGATCTTTTTGATATTCAAACCCTTATACATCTACTCTTGACGTTTTAAGAATTGAAAAATTATGACAAAGTTTTAATTACAATTACAATTACTTATTACAATTGTAATTGTTTATTAACTATATCCTTACCCCTGCTTGATATTAGTGTAAAGAACAAAGGAAGAATTCGTAAAATACCAGCACTTACCGATCTAGTAGATAGAGGGCGCTATGCAGCAGTATACTACCCGAACCCTGCAGACAGTGGCTTATTCGAAGTTGTAAGTAAATGCAATCATAGTTCACATTGTCAAATTAACATTGATTCCAATTTATTGCTATATAATTACATATGTATTTTATGACAGGGTGCTCAACACCCGTCTGAAGACAGGTGTACTAATCAAGCCCAATGGACAGTGCTGGGGATGCAAGTGCAGCCTGCAAGTGCCTATCACAGAAGATTTTTAGATGATAGCAATTTGACAAAAGTTGCTCAGCTAGTTAATACTGGATCTCTGCCACTATACAACATATCGGTTCAGGTATACAATGTTTGTATGCGCAATACAAAGCAATACATTTACTCTGGCTATTCAGTTGACTTATAACTTAAAATAACATTACAAGTTCAGTGTGTAAATCATTTGAAAAATCCAAAAAACGTTAATGCAGTGTTATACAATATCTGTTTTAGTTGAGAGGATTTGGACCACCACTTACAAGACTTATTGTAAAACCCAGTAATAGAACCGCTACCAGCGATAAACTGTTTTTGTCTGACCTAGATGGAGGTCAAAGTATGCCATTTGATATTGAATTAGATGCCAATGGGTCTGTACGAGGGAGGATTGGCATTATATTTAGTTCCCAGTCTGGGACAGTTGCTATATACTGGTTAAATCTAAGGCTCGATGTTCGGACACCTTTGCTTAGAGCGAACCCAAATTTCCTCTCTACAAGTGTGAATAGAGGGGAGCAAAAGATTTTTGAGGTAAACAAATACTCTTTAAATAATTCACCAATTAACATAACGAGATATTTGACATTTATTATAATATATAAACAATAAACAACTTAACGTAAGGTGTACTCGGGTTCGCTTACTCCAACTTTGGTAATAAATCATAATATTTTTTTATTTTTATGTGTTTTATTGTAGATTGATATTAGTAACGAAGGAATAATTTCCGCTCTTGATGTAAGAGTTCAACTAAGTGGTGACCCTTTGATATCTCTCATCTCGTTTTCACCTGAATCAGGTAATATTACGAAGTGATTGCACTTATGAATAGAAATTGGGACTGGTATTGTAGTTTTTAAAACAAGTATAGTGGATCCCACATTTGCTTAACTTCATCTTTTGTTCAGAGTAGGAATGCTACTATATGCATTTAGAGATAAAGTTGAGTTATTTATTTCTCTAAACTCACAAGTCACACATAATTCCCTTCAATAATAGGCCAATATATTGATCAATATAAACACATTCTTCACGATTTACAGATAATTATACCGTCAGCTCGGATGGTGCTTTCACCATCCCTGCCTCAACAAAAGCAACACTGTCTTTATCGATAACAGTACCTCCAACGGAACCGATTGGAGACCGGCGTGGTTCAATGATAGTTCGTTCAAAACTAACTGAGGTTGTAATTGGATATAAAATTCTTATCACGTCAAGTAATGAAGTTGATTTGAGAATACGAGTAGAAGATGAATATACATATTACACTGATGGTGACCCGTTGGTCGTGGGTGCTAAAGTGAGGCTAAGGAATCCGCAAAAGGGAAACGTTATTGAAACCTACACGACCTCAAACAGCACAGGTACTTCCATCTTAAAATTTTAGTTTATGATATCAATGCTTAATTATGCTTACCTTTTTATTAACAAAATTTTAACTCTACTATCCTTCGCATTCGTTGGATTTCACTTCTTAAAAGAGAGAGCTTCTTTGTCGGTAGTTTATAACTAGGCTCTGCGCCCAGGGTACTCTACTGTAATTAATTACAAAAATTTAATTGCAAAAAAGTGAGTGAGATTTCATTAAATACTATTTTCCAAGACCAGAAATCCGTATAAAATGATTATTGGTCTTGTGTAACAGAACTGCTGTTTGACGATATTGAAGAGGCATACTACAATTTAGAAGTGAGTGCAGACAGGCATACGTCATACAGTGCTGTCATTCTGGCATCTCCAGCTTACCCGAACATTACAGTCTTCCTACAGAGAACGGCAGTGAAGTATAGCTGGACTGTTACACCTGTTACATATCAGGACAAATACATAGTCACCTTAGATTCAACATTTGAAACCGAGGTAAGTTGTATGCAATATAACGAAGCTATAACTAAACATTGAAGAATGAATGTGAATGTATATATAGAACAATACAGAAGCATATTCAGTACAAAAAATGATATACTATGTATTATTTTAGGTGCCAATGCCAGTTGTTACAATAGAGCCACGACAAGTCGACCTAACTGCCTTGGAAGAGGGAGAAAAGAATGAAATTGTATTCACTATTACGAACCATGGATTGATAAGAGCACAAAACCTTAGATTTGCACTTCCAAACAATCATCCAACACTTGAATTCATACAGGTTAAGATTATCTTCTAATGTCTACTATCAAATTTAAAAAGAAAATCATTTTTATCAAATCTGCATTTCCAGCGAAAATGATGACCTTTTAAAAATATGCTTATAGGGATATGACACGAAACAAAGATACACTAAATGACATTTAATTTTGGGGAAATCGTTCGTTTCTCTCATCTTGGAGTCTAATAAAACGATCGATACTTCAGTTTTATTTTACAGACTGTTCCAACTATTGGTGACATTGAAGCCAACACAACACTTATAGTTCCAGTAGAGGTTCGTGAGAAACCTAGGCAAAAACGAAACTTCCTTTTGTGCCTAGCCTTTGGAATAAAATTACTTTGGGACTACCTTTGTGGGGTTCTCAGGACAAACGATCTCGATGTCATGCTACAGCGTCGCCAAGAGATGTCACGTATTCCCCCTAATGTATGCGGTGGTGGTGGTTGGGGACCAGGGGGAGGGGGAGGAGGGGGATATATAGGTATGTGCCTCAGTTGGGATATTTCTATATATGATAAATATAATGCTTGATGCATGCTATGCACAATTTCAAAATGCAAAATGAAGGGCGGGATACCTGAATTAACATCTTTATTTGTATAAGCCATAAAGAAAATAAGTGCTCACCAAAGATAGCATATTTCTTTTATTTTGTGAACAGCTCTATGTATAGTAAGCATAATAGACATTTGGTGTTCCTGCAAAATATATTTCAGTTTGATTTATACAGTTAACGTAATTTGAGATAATCATTATTATGCACCAATTGCCTTGTAATATGTAGGAGGTGGGAGAGGACCTGGTGTATCAACTGTTTCTACCAGCGTACGTAACTATGAGGCTGTGACACCAATGTCATGTGACTGTGCCAAGAAACTAATCCTTGACTGCCTTCTGCCTATGGTACCCGGATTTGGACCTATATATTCTATTGGACGTAGGGTATACACATTAGGAAAGGCAATCGGTAAAAAGTAAGTTGATATTCAGCTTAAATTCATTTTCATCGCTATTTGGACGGCAGGCTAATTTTTAAATACTTGGTTAGTTATAAATAGATATCTGACGAAAAGATGCACTATGGTTGATATTTGATTTTAATATTATCGTCGTATTTTGAAATATATTTTCCAGACGTAAACGTCGTTATCTGAATGGTGACACCATACATGTCGATGACCATAGCTATCCATTGGCAAGGCCAAAAAGAAAGAAACGATACATTCCCAAACCAGTCGATGCAGCTGCATCATTTAGTTCAAAGTATCGCTGCCTCAAAGCTATAGGCGAGGCTATTGGTAGGACATTATTGAAGTACAATTGTTAATTTCAAATTTTGCTCTTTTGACTTATGTATCCTTTTTAATCATGCATTTTGATCATTACATCATTAAGCGGATTGGACGGATAAGTATGTATTCATTTTGTAAATTTTGTATTGTGTATTATGCAGGTGAAAGTCTGGCAGGAGAAAGCCTTGGAAACAGTGCACTTAAAATCGGGGGTGGTTGCTTACCTGGTACCGCTGGACAGGCAGTAGGGTATGTTCCTATTAAGGTTAAAAACTAGTTTATTGCATCGAAAGAGAAAAATATTATATGGTTACAGTACCTGTGTAAAGTTTTTTTTACAATAATAATATATATATATTTCAGTTTTGAGTCAATTATTACAATGACGTACAGTTTTTATTTAAAAGCAATTTGAACACAGTTGCGTTAAAGATCCAATATGCTCACACTATGAACTTTAGAATATTTTGTCTGATTGTTGTAGCTGTTTACATATCATCATAGCTGAATGCCCAAAACTAAACGCTGCTGCAGCGGCAGGAACTGGGAATAGGAAAAGGCGTTCGACAATACAAGATGTGTACGTCAACATGGCGACAGTGAATTCCATAGTTTATGACATGTATCAGCTATCCTACCATATGTATGGTAATAAAGAAATGTAAGAAAAATTAATTGGCAAGGTTTTGAACTCCAAAGTTTTAATTGTGCTCCGATGGGCACCTTTTCTACATTCGCCATGACATCTCGTATTCAAAATTTGCGAAACCTTGTTGACGAAAATTTGAAAAATGCTCTAAGATGTTTCTTATAACTCTGGTCTTTCCATTTTCGGGACTCGTGGGTTCGTTTTAATCGAATTATGCCAACTTTCACCAAAACGCATATTTTTAGATGGGTTTATCCTCTTAATGACCCCTGTTACACAGGCCAGTTGAAATGCTTCGTTACGAAGCAATTTGACAAAAAGCTTCGTAACGAAGCAATTTTGGGCCAGTGTAACACTTCCGCCTTCGTTGGAAAAGCTTAGTTGATAACGAAGCAATTGAGTAGAAAATTCGACGAAGGTTAGCTCCCAACGAAGCTTTTTTGGCCTGTGTAACAGGTAGCTTCGTTAGAAAATGCTTAGTTGGCGGTTTGCGCATGCGCGTAATAAAGGGCACATTCATCATTTTGTATTAAATGAGAGGAATCGCAAGGAAAGAACATGTTTTTAAGTACGTATTATTATAATGCTACGTTTTGATTAAAATAATTACCTATTTGCGTCACTGATTGACGCTAACTCAAGCCCTAAACGCCACGTACAAATGTGATTTACCGTCTTTCGTAGCATTTCATTCGATTCCCTGCCTTTACTCGCATTGATATGACAAAAAGTATTAAATCTAAAAAACGCAGGTTTTACCGTATATGTATACGGTAGTTTTGAAACGTTTATCTGAACTATTAGAGAATAAACCTAGAATATTTAAATGTCCCTCTTTCGGAAAACTCTGTCTCAAGTGTGGAAGGGTAAACTTTTGAAATTACATAAGATATGCTTACTAAATAGAAAGTTGTAGCATACATGTTTATATTAATTTTTCTTGCGCCTCGAATAATTATACCTTGAATGTAATTCTAAAGGTGTTAATTCCATGATACTGATACAATTGCTTCCCGGTGAATCATATCAGGGAATATAGCCGATTTGATTGATTCGAAAATGTCTCTCTTCAGAAATCGTATTCAACTGGCTATCGCCCCATTGCAATACATGTACTTGTACTAATCGTTCCATTATTTTATTCTTCGACGATTTTAAATTGTAATTGAATTTAAACTTCATGTTTAAATTAAATATATTGAATTAATTACGTTTCAAAACTTCCGTATACATGTACGGTAAAACCTGCGGACAAGGAACAGTGGCCAAAATTGTTTCTTGTCGACAGATACTTGCCACAGAGAGGCTGCATGTTTTAGGCCAGCCCCAAACACTATTCAGATATGTCGTAAGACGATGCTTACAACTGATATTCAAGTTTCTTCCTATTTGCGCCATTTTCGAATTCAACGGACGGCTGATGTATTAACATACTAATTTAACATACTATTTATAACTCACTCAAATATGCATGTATTGGCGAGACGGGTAATATTCATATTAAAATGAATTGGTCATGAAATAGTAGTTACACGCGGTCCTAACTTCGACCGTTAATTTGAATTTTTGACCTACCGGATGTTTGAAAATCAAGGATTATGAGTCTCATACTGCAACGTTTTTCTTCCAAATTGTACCATTCAAAGCATAACAAAAATCCCTTTCTGATGGTACATTATTCTCTTAAACAGAGTCCCTACTTCCAGCGGCATTTTTGTCCCAAGCTGTAAGAAGGCCTTCTAACAGCTGGGGACCAAAACGCTGCTAGAACGAGGGACTCTTTACAATAAAGTAATGCACCGACATAAAGGCAATTTTGTTTTGCTTTTAATGGTATAGGTTTGAAGAAAAACGGTGCAGTATAAGACTCGCAATCCTTGATTTTCAAGCATCTGGTAGGTCGAAAATTCAAATTAACGATCGAAGTTAGGACCGCGTGAGTTAAACCATCAGCCGAACACCGAGGTATTTTAGTAATGGCTACACTATTTGAAATATAACTGAGAAGTCCATTTGGAAATTGAACGTTTTTATACGATTTTACATACTAGTCGTCTGTATAAACCCCAAATCCAATTCCTCCTAGTAATTAACATAGGCCTATTTTTATTCCATATGTTTTCCTAAGGAAATGATAGAAAATGAAAACGGTACTTGTAATCGTATTGACAGCTGAAATATATAAAAATCGAAATGATAGGAAAAATGTATGGACATGTGTACGGAATGATCACATTCACGAAGCATTTTAAGTGCAGTGTAACACCAAATAATTGCTTCGTTAGGGTTGGATAAAGCCAGTGTGGACACAATTTTTTCGCTAACCTTCGTTACAAAAATGCTTCGTTAGACTCAACCCAGCAGTGTAACAGGTACCAATGTTATCGCAGCTTGTTTTTTATTAGGTTTAACCTTGGTCTTGGGTTATGGTATCAAGAGTTTGAAGAGAGTATATCTGACAACAGCGATCTGGGGACATCTTTATCATTAAACGAATCAGCTAACGTGTTACAATATATAAATGAAACCGATCATGCTTTGGTTTCCGAGTTCCTTCAGCGATGGAACAACAGTGTTAATTCCTGGAGGAATGGTGTGACAGAACCTTCGCAAAGTCTTGATATAATTTCAAAGTCACAGCTTGAAGAGACCATGAAGAAATTCACAGAAGAACATCATAAATCTGTAGAGGTAAGCCTATGACAATTTCTTTAGAGTTAATTTGTAAAAATATGAGAAAGTATTGTGTCATATTTGTAAATCTGTATGTCTTATTGATCATACATTGCTATTGTCTTCAGTGATAAAGAATCGGACATACGTATTTATAATCGCGTATCTGGAGCAGGAGCAAAATTGAATCACTGAGTTGTACATTTCAGAGAGGATTCGACAACGTGTTCGCCGAGTTCGACAATGCCTACGTAGCAGTAAGGGATAAGTTCGAAAACCAAAAGGTAATACTCAACAATGATATCAAAGCTACGCACATCATATTCTCAAAGGCGTTTTAATTATTTTTCATAATTACTGTATAAGTTCACCTTGTAATACAGCACGTACACAATGAAATGTTGCGCGGAACATGGCATTTATTCATGGTTGCGCTGTATTTGTGATACGGCTGAATATGCCATACCCACCCGCGGTATATGGCATATTCCGCAGTGAATATGCGATTCATTGATTTCAGCGAATACCCGATACTCACCTGCGGAATATGTCATACTCACTTGCAGAATATGTCATATACCACAGGTGAGTTTGGCATATACCGCAGGTTGAAACGTGATACAGAAAGCATTGGTTTGATTGGCTGTGAGAATCGACTCTAAATGTAAAACGTCGCTGTATTACCGATATAGTTGGTGCTTCGAGTACTTATGTATGAATCCTGGATTGATTGAGTTACTCTACACGTGAAGTTGCTGAGTGATACTTCTGCATTAGTTGATATATCCAATGCACTTTACTGTTGATTCAGTAGTCATTATGATAATTTACAACATTTTACCTGTTCGTTCAATCGATGCAATTGACAATTCCGTACTTCCGTATCACAATCTCATTAGTTAGTGAGAAAGCCATATACCACAGGTGAATCGGTCATACACCAAAAGTAAATATGCCATATTCGTTGCGGAATAAGACATATATTTGTATCGCGTTTATCCCGTAACATGAAATGCAAGTATTGCAAATTCTAAATATTGATAATACTATCCTGTATATTTATAACTTCATCTAGAAAGAAGAGGGTGTATGTGCCAGAGTGAGAATACGAATAGTACAAGAAGCAGTTCTTACACGAGATGCATTCAATGGAAAGCTTGAGATTGAAAATGGCGAGAATTCTGCTTTAACAAATATTAAAGTGGAGCTTCACATCTTCAAATCGGAAGATGTAACTCAAGAACATATGATAGAGCATTTTGCAATAGGTATGAAGCTCGTAGCTACTGGTTATATAAATATGTCTTAATAAAAATGGTTATATAACATTATAAAATCGTATTTTATTTGAATCGTTGGAATACAACATTTACAATTATGCAATATACTTTGATTCTTTGTTTCTCTGTACTTTTGGCTGTAACTTCTTTACAAAACAAGATGTAATCTAGTCTTGATTGAATCTTGAAACAGACATCTTTGTTGACAGGAGATCCAGATCTGAACGGAATAAGCGCGGTGGATGGTTCGGGGAGTCTAGCTAAAGGGAAAAGTGGGTCTGCCGAATGGTTGATCATCCCTTATTCAACAGCTGCGCCAACTGAGGACGTCCTATACGACATCGGAGGTGTGCTCACCTACTTTGTTGATGGAGCTAATTTTACTGCCCCGCTGCTTGCTGATAGCGTAACTGTGAAACCTGACCCACGGCTGCACATTCATTACTTTCATGAGAAGTATGTTGAAGCTGATGATCCATTCACAAAAGATGTTGTTGAGCCATCTATTCCATTTAGCTTGGCTGTAATGATAACAAATACGGGCAATGGTATAGCGAAAGAGTTTAAGATAACATCAGCTCAACCTGAAATAATCGAAAATGAAAAAGGATTATTGGTGTCATTCAAGATTATTGCTGCACAATTGGGTAATGCAGATATATTACCATCTTTGACGATAGATTTTGGTGATATAGGCCCCCATCAGACAAAAACTGCCCGATGGCTTCTGGAATGTTCGCTTAAAGGGAAATTCTTCAACTTCAGTGCAACGTTTGAGAACATAAATCCTCTGGGTGACCCTGAACTTTCCGTGTTAGATGTTCTTGAGTACCATGACTTGATTCACTTGGTTCGAATGCGAAGTAATATAACCCAGTCTGATGATGGGTTCCGGGATTTCCTTGTTAATGATGAGATTGATGGACTGGATATGCCCGATGTTGTGTATAATAGCAAGGACCAATCCAAGGAGCCAGTGTTCGTAAGTCTAAATGTGACATATGAAAGAGCGAACAAACATTGGTCAGGTAAAGAGTATAAATACATATATGTCAATGTTCCTCTCAACTGGAACTGTACCGATTGGCTGTATGCACGTTTTGAGCATGACATTGAACTAGATGTTGACAACCACTTACTTCAGGTCACAAGACATGATAGAAATGAACTTATACGACCAGAAAATGCCTGGATGACATGGCATATAGAGGATTCACTATTTGGTCATTTATTCGACCATTGCCCATGGGCCTTGGACCAAGCGTTTCACAACTACACATTTATTGTTGGTCCCATCAATAACCATGATCCAAAAGTGAATGAGTCAATCACATCAATTGAGGTTAAACTCCCAATATATGAGAAACAGTATATTTCCACCATTGATGCAACTGATACTGACAATGATGGTATCAGGTTTATCTTAATTGAAAATTCTGACTATTTCCAAATTGATAGCAGCAGTGGTGTTATCACAGCAGTTCAAAATATTGAATCATTGATTGGCAAAGAAACTATCCACGTTGGTGTTGAAGATGATGGAATTCCATCAAGGAAAAGTATTAGTGTAATTGATGTAATATTTGAAACTGCTGATATAACAACAAAAGCAATGACATCTCATCACACGGCTGAAACTAAAAATGCAACAGTCCATCTAGAACTTACTACAGCGACACCTGCTTCTAGTACAACCACAAGGGCAACAACATTCAATTACACAGTTGAAACCACAGTTGGGATAACCCATACGGAACGTACTACTTTCACATATGCGACTAAGAGCACCACAAATGCAGCAACAACCAGTCACACAGACAACACCACAGATGGAATAATCCATACAGAAAGTACTCCAATGATATCTACTATTAATAGAACTGCAAATGCAACCACACCCGACCATACAATCGAAACCACAGACGGGATAACCCATACAGAACAAACTACAACTGACATCTACAGCAATGTTACACACTCAGCAACTACGGTTCTTGGGTCCACTTTTGAAGAAAATTATTCAAAAACACCTGACACAACGATATCCATGAAGCCTACAGTGACTTCTGGATCATCAACTCCTTCCAAAAATTGTGAGTGTTTTTTACGACATTGTATTTGTTAATGGTATTATGTTTGTTAATGGCATTGTGTTTGCATATTGCATTAAAAATTATAGTCTAGTTTATTCTAATTTTATACAAGTTCCATTTAATTTGTGTTACAGATTTTTTGTTTCAAAGTGGAAATGCATTTTATGACCAGAGTACACTTAGATATTTCATTTTTCTTGCTGGGCTCTGTACTAAGTTCATGTATTTTCCCTTTGTCACTGGTGTGTACATAGTAACAAGTTCATCACATAAAATCAGCTGCAATTGTAAATCACGGAGGAATATAGTTATGATAAACAGAAAATCTTGATTTATGCAAAATGGGAAAACCGAAGAGTATTTGATACCAACTTCATTTAGAATCTATGGAGTGTGTATCCGATGGTAAATACGTAATATTTTTTCAATTCTTGCTAATTTGAATGGTAATAGTTGCAAAGTAAATTGGTGATTTCACGTATTGATGATAATATGTTTATTGTTAAATTGCACAACACATGTAAGTGCAAGATGATATATAATAGAAAGTGAGTATCACTGTATCGTTGGTTGTGCATACATACATGATAATGAATAATGCATATATTTAATTTAATTTCAGCTGGGTTGCTTTCTTTGTTGTTGACGTTGAATATGCTGTGGAAGGCCGTGTTCAGTAATGTCAATGCTCCTGAAACAAGCAGTTTGACAGATTTAATATTGCGACTAGTAAGTCGTATCACAATTATCCTGAAGAGCCTTGGAAACGATATTCTGAACATTACATCAAAACATTAATGAAAACTAAGAGGCAAACAACATATATGTCAGTTTGACCAATAACGTAGACGTGAATTTATCATTATTGGGCCATATAGCTTGAACCTGAGATTGTTAACCAGCATTTCTTGATATACACTGGCGGATCCGGGGGGGGGGGTGCCCCCCACCTTGGTAAAAAAATTGGCTTTAAATTTTCAAAATTTGGGCCCGATTTTTGGTTTAAGGGGCCGGACATTTTTGGCTTACTCAAAATCCCTCCTTTGACAACTTTTGGATCCACCAGTGATATAAATGGATTCAATGGGTATAATTGCGACAATCAACACAACATATATATTTAGCTATGAAGTTCAAACATGTATTTCCCATTTAGAAATGATATTAAGATGTGTAAAAAATTGTAGTAAATTGTTCACAGCTCTTAATTTTCACTTTAATACTTTAACAAACAACCTGTTTTATTTTTTTCAGTTATACGATGCATTCCAAGGGGTGCCAAATATTTTAAAAGTCATCATAGACAATTTAAGGTTTGTATGAGACAAAACATTTACCCCATTTGTCAAAAAATATAATAAATACGAGGCAAATTTCTGTAAATATTTGTGGGAGAGTAGCTATAGCTTTAGTAATTAGGGTACGGACGTTTACTATTATTTTACACACACATGTTTCCATCCGTGCTCGAGACGTGAAATTAGTCTTTGCAAAGATTCAAAGAGAAACCGTTATGCTTAAAACTCGCACTTCTGTTTTAAAATACATTCATACCTGCAGGCCTGGCAGTGTAATTGTTAAACTAGGAATCTTAATGACTGAGAAGGCTGACAATAAAACGGCAAATCAAACCTGTGATGTTTTGAAAAAATACTTGGAGACTGTAAACTACACGATCGTAGGAGAGAAAGAAAATATTACTATCAAAAATGATAGTCTAGTTGTTAGTGAGTATTTAGCAGTAATAACTGCATGATATGATAATTGTCAAGTTTACTTTGGAATGTACTGTACTAGTATATTATTTAAAATGTATGATGCATATGAGATACACCATATTCGTTTTGATCTGGGATGTCAGTACTAATGAAACTGGACGTACATGTAAGTCTTAAATAAGAGGCTTTAAAAGTTTACCCATTTTTAAACTGAATGTAAATTTTGAGGAAATTAAATTATGTCTTTCTTGGCTAAGTAAAACGGATAAGTGAATTTCTTTTTTAGGCGTAGATCCTTGCCAGGACATAGACTGTGGTGGAAATGGAAAATGCATATATGATGACCAGAAAACTACTTGCAAGTATGTGATTCATATAATCGACATTCAGAATTGTCGAAAAGTGACTATAACTATGTACTACAGCAGACATAACATAACGCATTTATTTGGATTGTTTACTTTAGTTTGTATTAATATCTTTAGGGTAAATATTAAAATGTGGATTGAATCGAAAGGATTGGATTTATATAAAAGGTGGATTGGATCGGAAATTTTCAAAATATGGAATTTCTAACAAGATTTTTTTCTATTGATCTCCCTCAAAGCATTTCCCTAAAAGAATTTTGTTGTCACTCGCTCGGGTCCCTGAGGAATCAGGACAAATCAACACTACTTGAATACTTTTACTTTTCTGCTATGTTCTGTTAGACTTAAAACAGATGATATGGATCTTTAAACCAGTCTGCCCATCAAAGCTAAATAACATTTCATCTATTATTTGACATTGTGGGAGTGAGGAGAGCACCAATTTTCCTAGAGGGAGTTCAATAGAATTTCCATATTTCCAAGAAAATCCCTATTTTGAAGATTCCGGATCCAATCCAACTTTAATATGACCCCAATCCACTAGTTCTAATCTAGCTTTTAATCGTTACCATCTTGATACATTGATTTTTGAATCCCTCTTTTATTCTAGAACCGACTATGAATGTAAACGTTGTATACGCCATATACGTCATTTATCACATCATCGATATACACTCCCCTCGATAAGAATGACTTCCGGTTTCCAGACTTTTGGAAGAGAGTGTAGATTTATAGTTATTATACCTTTGTATGTACTCCAGGTGCAATCCAGGCTACCGAGGTCCTCGTTGTGGCAACTCTACGGTTGGGGAATCGACCAACACCACCATCATTATAATAGTGTGTGTGGCGGTCAGTGCTGTATGTATTATAGGGATCATTTCTGCATGCTATTGTGCCATGCAAAGGAGGAAAAGAGTCCAGTCAACTTCTTATAATAATGATGATGACGACAGGGATATGTCTGTATTCGGATACAACTCAACAATGCTTGCTAAGCAAATTCGATCCAAGTAAGTACAATATGTTGTGTGTAGACGAATTCACTGTTCCACTACTGGATGATTATAACTGCAGTAAGTATCATTCAAAATTGTGGCCAAAATTCTTTAGTTTTCATTAAACTTCCGATTTAAGCTCAACTAAGTTGAATCTGGGTGTTCTACCAAGCAAACTTATAAAGCTTTGATTTTAAACAGCCACAAGAAAATGTTCAAATACCCGCGATATTGAAGGAATTTAAAGAAACGGCCTCACTAAGAATGTAAAATCTTGTATTTTCCAACTTTTTTGTTGATTTCTCTGTCATCCTTCAACATTTTTTGTTTTCCTCATAAAGAGAATCAAGAACAAAATAATTGTTGATATCTTGAATCGATTTTGAGATATCATAGTCCAGAAAATTGGTCAACAAAAAGATCTCCAACAAAATTGGTTTGAAAGTAAATCTCCTTGGAATCCCAAATCCGAAATCAGATTTGAAATTTGACTTCCGGTTCAGGATATATGACCTTAAGAAACCTCGAAAAAACAATACAAGATGTTGATATCCCAATGTTTAGTCAATGGCCCCGACAAAAAGATGAAAATCAGGCCCAGCATTTCTAATTGGTGAACATGGGAATGTGGATTTTCAAAAAATCATCCAATTTATCATCAATATTCGACTTATTGTAATTGAGAAATTTTTTTTAGAAAATTTGGACGTATTGGAAATAAAGTCAAATTACGTCCCCATCAATAGTATAAGTATTTTTATCGCAGGTTAAGTAAATAAATATTCAAAGGTAAAGAGGCTTTAACACTTAGTCCAATGGGGGAGCTGTGGTTGCCAAACTTATTGAGGGGAGTGTAGGTGGAAAAACAGATGGTAAATTACAATCCTTCATTTCCAAAAAAGAAAACTGTTAGGACTCAGATGTCATAAAAATGTCTAGCCTTGGTGAGAGCTGGTGCATTTTATATGCAAATGTTATAAATCTTTTTTTATATTGTATTGTATTGTATTTATTATTTATTATAGTGTCACGCCATAAAATATTACATAGTACTAAAACGATATTAAAAACATTGGCCCTGCCGATGTCGGCATATGAGACACTTAACAACAATTCGATTAATAAGTTAATATAAGAATGTTCGACGTTTCATACAGAGTTTAATTACAGTCTTTGCTAGGGAACGTTGCAGCAATTCACAATTCATAAGTAAGCAATACTGTCCTAGACTAGTGGTATCAAAGTCATTCCCTATTAGCGACCTGGCCTTATGCAAAAGCTCTCTCCTCTCAGTCTCATAAAGGTGACATTCTATAACAAAATACATGAAACATTTCTTAGGATTGCATGTGATTATTTATTAGTTATATCATCAATATTTAGGTTATTACATCATTGTATTGAATCTGAAATAAACTTGATATTTTAAAAACTCTATAGCCCATTATAAATCTGTATTGAGTTAGTGTCTTCAATGGTGAATATCATGTTCGGGTTAGTATATCATCAACTTAGAGTTATTTCTAAGGGAAACTTTTGATTTGAATGAAATACAATAAATAAAGAACATCACATTTTAATACGTTTATGATTTACAAGGCTATTTCTGTAATGGCAATCGTTTTAACGTCTTAGTGTTCGATATATTTCAAATTTACTTGCAGATCGTCACCAAACCCTACTGGGCCAAAGTCCAGTTCGACGGGCGGCCTGTGAAAAGAATCCCTGAAATCAGGCATTCAACAAAAACGATTGCACAAGACAATGGTGAAATAAGGATAGCGGACAATTATGCAAATTGAGTGTAATACTTTATTTCACGACAACAATGGAAACCTATATGGAGTGCTTGGTCTAACAATTTTCCACACATCGGAACACTACAATTTCATAATAATAAAAACATATTTTAGATACACGAAGGTGCTTAGATTATAAAGTACATGTATATATTTTTTTATATTTAAACGGAATGCTTATTTTTGCTATTTGCACAACTTTAAAATGTTGTGCTTCGTTATATGCAATTTCAAATTTCAAATTACTGGACAGTGGCATTTTGATTTACACGAGTAGGCTAAATAAATATCTGTTTCATTTTTTACTATTTTCAGTGTTTTTGTCACGTAGGGGAAGAATTTAAACAAAGGACTTAATGCTGTATTTTAGATATATCAATCATGAATTGTACGCTGGTCTGTAACCCCGAACTTGGTTAATGACAATGTTGCCAAAAATGTTCACTATATCGAGATATTTTCTTGCCGTGGGCTTTATACCAACACGTCAACATATGCATTTTTAGTTTTATAACTAACAGATACTTTTTCTTATTTCGATGTTAAACGTATTCCAAAATTACACGCTGCACCGTTCATTTAAACCATTTTGTTTCGAACAATAGATGAAACTGAAAAATAAGACCTTCGCCAGTCAACCCTTTAGACTGAAACGTTGTACACCAGCCACCACCCACCCCCCGTTAAACTGTTTCCAATGCAGTTACAAAACACAGGGTATGCATGACTTTGTAATTCACGTCAGTATGCTTTTTTTTTGTTTTCCTAAAATATTTGGATATCGACATCTGAATTCTCACTTTAGAGTGAGATTGATAATTTTGATAATATATAACTGACAGACAGGCTGTATATAATCGTGTCAATGCGCTGTACACTTTGACAGTATGTAGCCAAATAGTATTTATTAACACGTTACACATACTAAAGTGAATAAATCGTGTCAATGCGCTGTACACTTTGACGGTATGTAGCCAAATAGTATTTATTAACACGTTACACATACTAAAGTGAATAAATCGTGTCAATGCGCTGTACACTTTGACGGTATGTAGCCAAATAGTATTTATTAACACGTTACACATACTAAAGTGAATAAATCGTGTCAATGCGCTGTACACTTTGACAGTATGTAGCCAAATAGTATTTATTAACACGTTACACATACTAAAGTGAATAAATCGTGTCAATGCGCTGTACACTTTGACAGTATGTAGCCAAATAGTATTTATTAACACGTTACACATACTAAAGTGAATAAATCGTGTCAATGCGCTGTACACTTTGACAGTATGTAGCCAAATAGTATTTATTAACACGTTACACATACTAAAGTGAATAAATCGTGAGAGGCAGCCGAGGCTCGTATCAATCCAGGAAATCATATGCATGACTGTTTGTCGAACCTCATGGTAAAATGACGGTGATTTCTTAACGTGTATTGACGAAGGCAAGCTATGTACGTGTATGTGCGTTGGTTTTGGATGTAGAATTTGGAAAATGGACATCCTTGAATGAATTTTTGTTTTATTACATTTTCACACTTAACCCAGAATGCTCTGTATTTAAGTCATTAACATATAATGCGGGAATTATATCCTGACTCCAGGAGTATTTGATTAATTAATATGAATAGATGTAATGACGTGTCGCAAAAAGGTGGCGCATTTGTTTTTTAAGGGTATCGCGTGAATGTAACTTTGATTCCCCGGATTATAAGATAATATTCTAATTAAAGTTATATATCATTTTAAAGCTGTTTCGATGAAGATTTTAGATCAACTAATCTCCGTTCACATTTTTTGCGCGTTCGTTTTTAAAAAAGAGTTTTTTACCAAAACATCTGGCAAATATCCCATGTTGACACGTTACATTTTGAATTATTTTTCGTCTTTAAACGCTCATAACTCAAACAATATATGACTATTATACTTATTTTTCGTCTTGATAAAGGTACATGGAAGTTTTATTTCAAAGGATGAATTTTAGTAAGCGTCCCATATTGTGACGTCATAGAATCTGTTGACAGCGACCTTTTTTGCTCATTTTTTGGTACCTTCAACTTTTCAGGTGTACATTAAACAAAAAATACGAGATCAATTTTTAATAAATCATACATGATTATTTTGCTCCTAAACTCTAGTTTACTAATAAATAGTTGATTATGTTCACAAAAGTATGTGTTTTCTGTTGTATGTGGAAAAGAGGAGGACGAAAGATTTTCAAAATTCATTAAAATAGGGCTAATTTACGCCATTCGCCTATTTTCAAGCACAGCAACACGTATATTTATTTCACCTAAAATATCAATTGATTCGTGTGTTATGATGCTCCTAGCCCATTAACAATATATATATGATATCAGAGTTATTCGTCTAAAATGTTTTGAGATATAGAGGTAAATGTGGAGGACGAAAGGATTTTCATGTGTGTACATTTTTCTCAAAAACGTCACATTCTATCATGTTAAAAGCGAGGATCCTCTGGATTACGCCACAAAATGTGTAACAATGCGTGCGCGAGCTTTTTGCGACACGTCAATAAACTTCATGGCATTATATGAACATCAGGAAGCTTACTCACATACTATCATCAAGTTACTGGTATTTAAAACATAGAATTTACTCCTAAGTTCTGTAACGACCCTCACTCTGCATGGTAAGTGCAAAAGGTATTGGTAGCGTTAAAGGGTTGAAGAGTGAGTGGAAGAATCGTCACATTATTACTGGGTCCGTGTTGTGATTGTATGCGCTCTCGATGGTTTTACAGACATGATTGGTTGAATGGCAAAATGGCTGAATATGTCGCACTGCGACATAAAACATACACCTAACTGACAAAACAGATGATTTAGTTTAAATATAAATGAAAACATGATTATGGGTTTATTTACAATGTGATTATAAATTGAGTATGGTAATTATGACAATAACACACATAGTGTGGAAATATATATATATGAATAAAAGTTCTGATATTGTGACACATGGATGATATATGGTGCAGCGTTACTCAATGGCAACGGGTACCCATATTCAAGGATTACGCACAAAGGTGGATCGTTATGCAACTAAGATCCCTGAAATGTGGTTACGATAATATACACAGTATTTCCTATCAAGTACAATACATACTCAAGTAAGATTACATAATTACCAAGAAGCTGATACTGCAATTACACATTATTGAGCTCATATTCATAAATCCTACATTAACTACACATATAACATACAATACTTTCATCTGGGAGAGTGTGTGACACAACTGGTGACCAAATAAACATACATAGCAATATGTATTACCATGACTTTGCAACAACCTTTGACAATGAGAACAACAACAACTGGCACCTTGGAGTGTACGACATGACGCAAAGAACCGAATTACAACCACTGACAAAATGTAAGACCGACTAAAAAGATCAACGTAACATTATGTATTCACAAGTTTGGGTGAAACATACCAAATAATGACAATAACAATAACTTGTACAACATTTGATTCAACATACCAATTAGTGATAAGAATTTATACATGACTGCTCATTATGTAACATGCTAGGAAAATTAATGTCATATAACATGTGGATGCAATCACATGACATGGATATACATGTCACGTAACTAGTGGGCGCCTGCTATGAAATATGCCGACGCGTGCTACATGACATATGGGTGCGATTACACATCATGTGGGTACATGCTATGTAACAAGTGGGTGCATGTTATGTAGTAAGTGATCAATCATGAACATGAGTGAAACTGTATACCCAAGTTGGTAGTAGTACATCACCAACTTATAATATTCCATGACACAACATAAGGGTGAGTGCAACAACTTGTATTCCCTTTGGTAATATTGGGTGGAACAAACTGTATCTCCCTAGGGTGGCTTTGGGGAAAGCCATACATGCATACAGTATATAAATTATAGTACGACCTTAACGCAACGATACAATAAAACCGACACTCCAACCATCGATAAACAATAGAACAGTTCAAGTTCAAAACTAGTATCAGGCTAGACCATAAACTAGGGTTCCATCAGGGTTTAACTCAACACCATCATCTATCTGATACTAACTGTTGCCCAACAGAAAGACTTGAACTCCATAAGCCGACTACATACAAGCGAGACATAACGTAACATTCAACTGCACAGGGTAGTTTGCAGTGTACCAAAACATGATCAATTTGGGTATTGATCATCAACAATGAGGTGAACTGACATGATCAAACTGGGTATTGATCAACAACAATGCAAACCAAATCTAGGTCAAATAATTCCAATGTGCTTTTTAGCATTAACAAGTCAAATCCAAAATCCAAATGTAATACTTGCCAATTTGACACACTCGATACATAGAGTGCTTACAGCTTGAAATGAGGTGTAGGGTGTCCATCCACATGAGGTATTTGCATCAGCATATGAGAGGTTGGTTGTTGGTTGTATGTAGTTCGCCATTTGACAGACGTGCTGACAATTGCAAGTCATGCGGGAGGGGTGAACCTCAAACTTCAAGCCTGATTTGGGGGTCAGACTTCGTGCAAATCCTGTTGTAATCACCTCATGTGGACGGACGGTCAACAATAGCGACATTTTGAGTGAAGATAGCGGAGCAAATCACGAATGATTTACTCGAAAATCATAAGATGGCTACCTGTCTTCTGCGCATGCGCAGCGACCGACATAAATTACGAACTTATGTAAATCCACAAAAACGGCCATAACTTCGCCAATACAGGACCGATTGCAAAGTTTAAACTACCTATAGAGGGCTTAATTTACGTATTAGGTGCATATCCTACTAGATTAATGACAAAACATAGTAAACAGGGTGAAATTTAGACCAGAAAACTACGACAGTAACCCTTGACCTTGTTACGTCAAAAGTATGAACGGAACTAAGAATAGTTCGAGAATTACGCTAAAAGTACGAACATAACTAACAATATCCACAAATTACTAGAATATGACACTTTAGTGGATAATAACGATCTAAACATGTATGTGAGTATATAAACAACATTAAGTGAAACCCAACAGTGGTGAGACATCGAACTGACATTACTGAATATCAGCAAACAAATAAGTAAATCTGTTGGGTTATCACAGTTCAGCTGATGATTTATCATAATTTCATATCTTTTTTTAGCCAAGTTAGCATTGACAGGGGCAAATTATTCATCGAATGTATTTGAATAGTCTATATCATTAGAGATTTTAGAATTTGATGTGGGACAAATAGATATATCACAGAGATTCAATTTTTATAGCAGATGATACATTTTAA